TGTCCACCCCCCATATTTTGTCCCAGCGTATAATAATGAAATAAAATAGCTTGGACCAAACCACCGTCCGATATGAGGCGTGCAAGGTCCCATGTATTCATGCGGGAATTTTGGTCGCTTGCCTGTGCATGCCTGATATTGGCTGCATGGTTTCATGCTGGGTTATTTCCGCGCATTTATATATTCATATCATATTAATTCGACTTTCAAAAAAGTAGATTAATTTTATCATAATTTATTGAATGTGTTATGTACATGGAACAGAAAAATGAATGCTCCGTTCGTGCAGCGAAAATCCGAATGTATAACTCATGACTTTAGTATAAGCGTTTTCTTCAACTACATGTGTCAGGAATGCATAAATTCATACAAAGGCGTTGCTATAAGGCAAGGTATTAAAGGCTTAGCATGGGAGTTAAGGAATAATATTATTACTAACATTAGGATTGTTTTTGAATATATTTATTCGATATTTGGAGTGATTCCAGTAGCTATAGAATCTATTTCACTTCACACTTTAACGTTGCTCGAAAGGTAGGCAAAATCGAACAGATTTGCATTCAAGTTAATACGTACATGTAACAATATGTTTTATCTCCTTTAATATTACGTGTTTATTTAACAAGTTTCCATAATAGTATTTTTCAATGATTATAGCAACGTGTACGCGTGGGCCTTCTGTTTAAACATTGGCAGTCCTAGTGGCTTCTGCCGAAAATTTGTCTTCATATATTTTTGCATATCGTTTGTCGAAGCACGAATGTACATTGTAGTTAAAAATCGAATTTACGACACAGTTTTCACTGGATATATTCCTTAATGGTTCGAGGAAGTTGGTTTTTTTATCTGGTTTACATGTATTTTGGCATAAGAACCGGTCATTTGAAACAGAACAAAACCATGCAGTAATGAACTATATTTTGGATACGTCTTTTGTTATAAGATAGACTTATAGATATCCGAACTTCTCTATAGATACCCATAGTTCTCTGGATACCCATAGTTTTTTAGATATACCAATAGTTCTCTAGATACCCACAGTTCTCTATGGATACCTATAGTTCTCTCTGGATACCCATAGTTTTTTTAGATATACCAATAGTTCTCTGGATACCCACAGTTCTGCCTGGATACCAATAGTTCTTTAGATACCCATAATTCTCTCTGGATACCGATAGTTCTTTCCGAACTCCATAGATACCCATAGTTTTTTAGATGTACCCATAGTTCTCTAGATGCACCGGCTGATTTTCTATGACAAATTCATGTGACAAATAGTTTGTGTCAACGGAAAATTTGTGATAAATTAGTTACGGCAGTTTCCTAGGATCGAAATCGAGTGTGCTAAATATTAAAAAGCATCTTTTTAGAAAAAGTATATTCATGCTAGAGATGTGGATGTACCTGAAGTCTGAAGAGAGAAAAAATGATCCGAGTCAGTGAACTTTATACCAAATAGCCTAATTTATTTTCTAATTAGAAGCTCCCATTTTTCTTACCCTGCATATGCGGAAGACGTCTGTAAATTCCTTATGCAGTTCGTCGTGTATAAGCATGCTAATTATAAGTCCCGTCGTAACTTCACTGGTTTACTTTACGGGCCAGACAGATTTCCTAAATGAGCAGAGACCAGAGTCGTCTTTATTCCCGTGATTAAAAACTGAAATGGCCAAAAATAAAATCTAGTGAAGAAACAGTTAAAAACAAAAATTTCCCTTCGACACCTGCATGACCATCATTTACATGATAAAGTATGGTTTAATTAACTGGGATAAACCAAAGATTTTGCCTAAGCACCGATTTGTCATGGATTGTCTCAGCCATGTGGGGTTTTAATTAAAGATCAAAACTAGTTAGCGAAGAACAATCAATTCCTCTAAATAGTGTCCGCTTGTTTCTTAGAAATTGAGAATCAGTATAGCGTTGGCGAAAACGAACATGCATGACTCCATGCATGCATATAGTTCACACTGTAGCAAAATACTTTTACACAATGCAATACGCCCGGTTTATCCGTCATAATTACCCTGGCTGCCCTAATATATCTGGTTATTTATTTTATTCATGAAACTTTCAGTGTCGAGTTACCAACAAATTTTTTTCCTTAATTAAACAACTAACAATTCATATATATTGACAAAGTATATATGATACAATACAATCACTACTATAAGTAAAATTCTGATATCCACGACAGCCATAAATTGTAGTCTTTACTTAATGTTACCAGTTATAAGTAATCATCAAGCGTTCCAATATTGTACAAAATTCAGTTAACACTATAATGTAACCTTTGGATTCATTGGGGAACAAGTGTGGGTTTAAAATTCAGATTACCATACGCGCCTTGTTTTTTAAAGTTTAGAAACGAACTGCGCGTCCAGAAACACAAAAACTAAAACAGCGGATTAAAATTTCACCCAGCCGAGTTAGCGCTGGGCTAGCTTTGAAAAACCGGTCTCTGATTTTAACCGTTCTTGAAACAAAAGAAACTAGGACTAGAATTAAACGCATGATCAGTTCATTTTAAAAACATGATCAAGTTGTTTTTCCAGGCTAAGATTTAACTACGTTTTCGTATCAGTTAATTTCTGTTTTGTCGGTAGAACAGGGTCGTGAAATATGACGAAAATTAATTCCCTATAACTTTAACTATTAAAAAAACGGAAGTGACTTTCATGCATATATGCTTATACATACACCAAATTTATACAAGCAGTGAACCATTTTCTATTAAGCTGAAAGAATTGTTGTATGTACCAACATTTTTGTATTTTTATTCTGGGCATTTTTTAAGATGTCTTCCATACGAATATATATATGACGTTTCAGACCTACTTTTGAAATTGGGAGGGGGGGCTTAATCTAGAGGCGCCACTATGTTTGGGCCGAGCGGAAAAAGTTCACAGATTACTGAAAATATATGCATAGTCTCTTTGGTCCTGGTTGTCCTGCTCACCCTATTCCACTGCCCCATCGCTCTGTATACGCCTCTGCACTCTATACAGAGCATGGGGTGGAGAGGGCAGCTGGACGACAAGGATTATGCTTCTTTGATTGATTACTTGTCATGCAGCAGCGGCATTTAGTATCCTGCTACTCTATAGCTTCGTTCTCCAAAACAACGGATTTCTCGCTTGGAAATTCAGGATTTGTGAGCTTAGCGCTCAATGACCAGGAATGATTTACAATTATTGTTTCTTTCTGTGTATCGCTGACTTCGCAGTTTATTTCCTCTCTTGCATTATGAAGCTTAAAGTCGATAATAGAATTGTCAAAGAAATTGTATAGGGCTGTTCTGAACCCCCCGCCATTCAGGCTCTGCTGCACTCCTTGTCCATTTATAAATCGTCTGTTAATTTGACTAAGGCTTGGTTACCTTTCCCCCCGATCACACCTTTCCTTCCCGATTACAAATCTCTTTCTGAATGCCCCAAGTTACTTGTCACGGCACTGTCATATGATGCCTTAGTCCTTTGCATAAAGCTGCCCTGAAATGGCCAACTTTATTTTTAATGGGGAATACTGATAGAGCTTTCTTTATTCGCAGCGGGAATAGATAGGCACAGCATCGCTTTACAATGTGCGAAATTTTAACCATTCAATACATTCAATGAAATGAATATTGGCAATTGTATCTGAACGTTTAAATTTAAGAGTATACTGACATAACTAATTAGTAGCAATGCATCATAATCTTTTGCACGGACTGATGAGAGAATTTTCGCGTGGGCTGTAGTGAAGTCTCTATTTTATAGCGCAAAAATTATGTCCTCGTTTTCAATTTTCCTTCAACTTGTGAAATGGGAATAAAGATTTTTCTTGTGAAGTATTTTTAAAGTGCATATCCTTTTCAAAATTGGAATATATTCCACAGCGATAAAGAATGCTAAAAGGTATTTACGTTTTATAATTATCAAGATATCAAGGTGTAAGTATAAGGGACATGCCTAGTTTATCTGTCATCCTTAAATAAGCGAATCCAACATTGCAAACGTTCCTCAACAATTTATCCTAGACGGTATAGAATTTCATACAGTGCCTATAGCTACCGTTATACGTGCAATAAGTTATATAAAGTCTGCAAGGGTAGAGTGTCGAGGTTCGAGTGTTATACGAGTGTACTCATTTGTGGTGTTCGGTTGCAAACTTTCAGGTTTGCATAAACGGATCTTGAAATCAGCATCGGGCTCCTCCTATGTATGTATATAGTTTATACAGCAAGCTTGTTAATTAAATTTAGTGATTTCTATGAAGTTGTCTCTGCCTAAATTGTGTAAAATCGTTGAATTGCTGAGAATTATGGACCATTGTTCACTCCGCCCATCAGTCAACAAACCATTGCATTGACAACTTGTGAATCAGCTGGGGGCGAGCAGTAAGAGCATCGTGTTGATATTTGCAGTTCACATCTGCCGTCAGTCTTTCGACGTATGGTTTCAAAAAAAAATGATTTGGTTAAATGCAATATTGAAACAAACGCGCCGACAGCGATAGAGCCATTAATATTTAAGTGTTAGTCTGCAGCGTGACATCGTCTTTCCTCACGACGGGCTATAAATGTCATAAATTTTCGGGATACTTCTTTGTTCTTGCATGGTAACCGGCGTAAAATGTCAAAATGGCGATAATTCAAACAGAATATCGAATCGAAAAATTTATTCAAATGTAGATAATCGAGTTTGTACAATATCCCAATTCGCGGCCTTTGCATTCTTTGATCTGGAAAAGGTAGTGATTATGTCTATAACTAGCTAAGACTGGAAATGTTGAAAAAAAGGCTATATTTCTCAATGCTCATTTATAAATGATTACTTTTCCACATTTTGCCAAATTTTATCCTTGAGCAGGTAAATCAAACACACCAAAGCACTACCGCAAAATTGCATGTACCTCCCACCATGCACCCAGACTTAACACCACGATCCACGAGCCTCGAAGTTCGATTATACCCGTTCACACATGCTGTTAGCCTTTCATATCCAAATATCCGGCAAGGCCATAGTAAAGGGTCATCATGTATAGGTCTTGTACTCTGGCTGTTATGTCTGTTGCTGTCGCTTCGCTTCTGTTTGGTCGGCTCGTTCCTTCATTCGGATGATAAACGCGCGCATAAACAAGCAAGAAGCATAGAAGGTTTGTCTATTATTTTATGATCCTAAATATGCAATATATACCGTAGAAGATGCACGTCAGCGATGCAACCAATATCAGACGAACATACAATATATACTGATAAATACAAGTGCAGTTACAAGCAAGTCCTATTAGATTCATTCAGCGAACATTGCCGTTGTCAACTGCCCATACAATATGACATCACCTTGTATATAAAAAAGGAATATCTGTTTTACATAAGAATTCTTCTACTCATATGCTGAACGTCTTATATACCGTCAGAATTTGACCCGGAATTCAGTGATTCAGACATGCATTTATATCTGCTACAACCTATATAATCTTGATGTTAGATTTATCTTATAATGTAATACATGATCAATACTGGGCATTATGGCAGAATTCCGTCATTAATTAATCGTGCCTAATTCTGAATGTTTTGACCAGACGTACTGTTTAATTTTGTACGATTTAATGTATATATAAAAATTGTTTGCGTATATACTTTTTACTGAACTTTTAGGATATATTTCTTTTGGTCGACTTCACTTTTATACCAGGTATACTATATATACTAGTGTACCTTTTCAAAGAAATTTTGAGACAACATTAAAGTTCGAAAAGCGCTTAATTTCAGTGCCTGTGTGTTCACTGTGCATGCAAACACCCAGAAGTTTCGAATATTTCCCCAAAATACTCTGTACATAACGTATACTAGCCTGCAGTGAATTTCAATTTGAAATGACGCTGTCAGTTTTAGGAGACATGCATCACACACAGTAAAACAGCTTTTGCCTGTTTCTATAATCTATGTCCGGAGGGTTTGATTTTGAAACCACCGAGCAAGCACATCCGTCAATACTTGCCATGTATGGATGGTGGATAATTGAATAATTATATCATGCATGAACTTTGATTTGGCATTTCAACGACGTAGCCATCACATATACCAGCTGATATCAGTATATATGCATGTACCTATACATGTACATTGTTCGGGTTTGTAGTGCATGCATGTATATATGCGCAAATATATATGATTTATATGTACTGCATGCAAGTTTGTGTCGCGAGGCAAATTCTAGCCTTTCTATATAGGCTACATATTGTGGACTGTATAACTGAATTATCTCGGTTCACCAACACGTCCGTGCAGGGAAACACCGTGAACTGGAATTGAAGTAAGAATACATAACGAACTCAAGAAATTTATTTAATTTATGATGTGTTGTAAACAAACAAAACTGCTTTGTGGCGATAAATAATGTTTACTTTTATATTTAGTATATGCGTATACCACCTGTTGTATGGTGCATGGACATAAGGGTCAAGGAAACCTAGCACGGGTGCTTAAGATCTCCTTGGATCAATATAATGTATTGTACATGAGCTATATATGCCTACATAATGTATGCTATATATTGATAATCGATATGGTTTAGTTATCCTTAGACGAGGCCTTTTCCTTGGCGGCTATACCGATAACCATCGTATTCTATTTTGCTGATAAATACGTATACTGTACACTAATTATATGAATGACGAAACTATAATTTAATTTGTACAAGACATGATGACTCCTGACTGCGGAGATGATGACTCCTAAAGCGGCCTTCTGACTGCATATAAAAATGCAGGGAGTATGAAAAATGTGAAATTTAGGTAAATGAAAAAGGGTAAATGAAAAATATGACTAATATAAGTTCCATCGAATCGCATGAAATAGAAATGATTTCATGCTTCAAATTTGTGGACCTTGGAAATTTGTCACGAGACCACTTGTATAAATTTGCTTACGTGCAAATTCTAATACAATAAGGTCAAAACGGCGATTTTGAAAATGTAGTTGAGATGGGTTTTTTTATCAACTGGTAAAATTTGGACGAGATCAAGAGGGAATGTATATATTCTGATTTCACCCCGATTAAAGGAACATGCGCGCAGAATAAATTCTATACGTGCGCAAGTAATTTATTTGCTTCCTGCATGAGGAGCGTCGATCAACCAATAAGTCAGTATATTATTTCTATGGCTTAATACACATCAAATTTGTTTTCACAACTAAAATATGATGCAATTTTAGGCCCGTTTCAGTTTCTAAATTTTAGTTTTGAATAAAGTAGAGTCTAATTAACCGATCTTTATCAAAAGTCAAAGTATAATGCGGAACTCGAATTTTTTGGATGTTGAAACTGTCTCTGTTGTGTAGGGCCAGTGATTAGAAGACATCACGCGGACCGCGGCATATATGAATCGACTATTGGCATGGATTAGAGTATGATACGGCGAGAATTTGGGCTTGCTTTAAAGATTTCTTCCCTTAGTTGGTCGACAGACTGAGTAATTCGTTAATAATGCTAAACCTCACTGAAATCGTCTATGTCTAATACGGTATTAAAAAACAGACTAATAGCTTTGGGATTAATTTCAGCATACATGCAATTGTCGATGTCACCTCCTTCGAAAACACTTTATAGGATTAGTTGGAATTGAAACGGTGTGAACATATATATACGGGGTTGAAAAAAAACGCAAGCATGCACTAAATATTCATGATATCCGCTTTCTATTCGATCAGAAAAGATTGCATATTCGTGAACATTCAGTGGTAGCGTTTTTTTATACACCCTGCATATATATAGTGCCATTTTTACTACGTAAATAATTGAATCCAAAACATTCCATTCCCCGTGTTTGCTTAGCCAAAATTTCCCAATTCATGCTGAGTTTAATGTTTAAATTATAGTTTCGATCGCGATTGATTAACTCTTGAGTTTTGCAAGTCATGCAGTTTTGTGCATATTTGGTCTATAAAATCTGCTGATAAGATTGGGTGGGTAAATTCATATTCGCCTGGTATTCATAAATTATTATCTATCTTTCAGATTTTTACATGCATCAGATATACGAGTATTTGTTGCCGTGGGAAAGACGGCTTGAATGAAGCGGAACTTTTAAAGTAAAGAGTCCTTAAGGTAAGACATTCTTGCTTATGTATACCGAAAGTCTATAGCCTAGTTGTTAAGCCTATGGCGCAGCTTTGATTTATAATTCCGCAGGGCGCAGTAAATAAGCCTAGACATTAGCTCGAACTTTTACGGCATAATGAGATACTTCGCATCAAACACGGTATAACTGCCGCGAATACAGACGAAAATTCTTCTCGTTGTTTCGATGGGTCTTCGTCGGAATAGTATATTAAAGCTATCTATAACATTCATACTGACGAAGGCCCTTGCCGTGAGGTCGAGAGACCGGGTCGAAATGCCGTGTGAAATGAAAGTGTTTTGTCTATTTTAGCTATACTTTTATAGCCAGTTTTCTGTTTTCATCAACACACGTAACACGAAGTTGCTAACACACGCTGCTATATACGATGCTTCTTGGACTTGGTTGTATATATTGGGACGTACATTATTGTAAAAAAGTATGATCCTTTATTGAAGAAATTTTATATAGAATTTAAGAGTATTCCGCTATGTTACAGCTATACAGAATTAAGTGTTTAGATTTGGCGGTGTACATAAGAGTGAAGAGACATGATATATACTTATGCAATTTAACATAAGGTTTACGTAATTATATTAAGATCTTTTTTCTATCATGTATTAAGGGCATATTATCGCGGATATGTCCGCTTACCCAAAGAAAAAGGCTACAAAGTATTCGTTTAGGAGTGTCTGGTATGCATTTCAGATCAAAGCCTCTACAGGTTGTATAAAAAAAAAGATAATCAAACTTCACCACTCTATTGTGGTTAAATTATTTTAATGGAGGGCGTATTTGGTTTGCTAAGAGAGATCAGGTTTCTATTTGTAACTGTATGTCACGTCTCGTTGTAGAAAACGTGTATTTTGACTTCTGTTTGCGCTACTCGAAAGAAAATCATAACAGATCGTAATGCATGGGCGTCGTATTTCTATATCTTTTATCCGCAGAGGTGCATGAAAATATCGATTTTTCCCGTATTGCATGTATATTTAAAAAAAAGGATCATTCGACAGTTGAGAGCCATCTTAGTTTTTATCCAAAAAATGTACTCGTCGAACACGATAGCCGCGGACAATAGCGCGTGTTGAGGTTGGATTACCTTTTTTATCCACTTTGTATGTACTGTATTTTTTCCAGATAAAAATCCAATCCGGATAGAGTGGAGATGAATTTCTTTTGAATTCGCGCCACTACGTACTTGAGCGACAACTTGAATACACACTCAAACGTCTTAGTTTTGTTCAACGCGCGTTATTTCAACGCCGGAAGTTTAAAACCTGTTTTCCACTAGGCGGAATTCTGTGCGCGGAGCGGAATTTTTCTGTTTTTCTGACATTAGTTCTTCAAAGAAAAATTCTGCCCCGCACGCAAAATTCCGCCTAGAGGAAAACAGCCCTAATGTTACAAAAACAAAAATGTCAAACTATATAATATATTCACTACTGGTACGAGTAAGAAGTTAAAAATGTTTGTATGGTTCGATAGTGGTGTAAGACGAGAAAAATTTAAAGGGTGCCTCCCCTAACGTTTTAAACCACATTTAATTGTTAGTATTTGAATGTCTCAGGCGCGCAAACTCGATGGAATTAAATTTTCGCGAGGTAATTATTAGCTACATTATTTTGCGCTTATTGGCTTTTAGCCCAGTGGCAGTGTTAATTAAGGTTCAAGTTATACCAATAAGTAATAATGGTTCTGGATTCTGGAGTGATACCCTTTACAAACGCCCCGCTCAAATGATTGAAACGGCACGGTTAAAATTGGTACCTGTTCCTAGTTTTATTAGTGTTCAGGTTGCCAATGGATAGATGAGATTGGTACGGGTACCCACTTTAAGCGTTCCTTTCCGAGTGTAGTGAACTAGAGTATCCAGTAATCAAGGCACTTTTTTTAAATCAAACTTTTAATAGAATTTGAATGCCTTATCAATTTGCTATAAACCCCTAGGTGCGTCAACAAAAAACGGGACCTTATCCAAATGCTAATTGGGTGGACGTAATAGTAATATCATACGTAATAGTCAGTGGAGTATTGTCGAATGGTTACTCGAAAAATTTACTCAAACTAGTGAATACAGGATACGGGATAGTACGTGTCTTTGTGTTAGGCAAAGCTTTTTTGGAGGGTCTCGACAAAATGCCTGGTAACGGGACGACCATTATTTAAAACCATAGCGACGAAGCCCGTAACTATACGTTATGGCCTTAAGCGTAATTCCGTCTAAATGAAACATATCTATTCGTTTTAGCAATTGTCACCATATACATAGTATCACTACAGTTGAAGAACAGAGATGTCTGAAGAGAACGTTGTGCATCGCAAGGAAAAGAAAAATTTACGAAAAAGCACAGATGGTTATCGGACCGACTCAGGATGTTTCGAAGACGTCGACGTCCCGATAACTAGCCAAAATCCTTCCACAACGACCTCGTCGGAGTCTGTCAACTTGCACGGTGAAAAACCTACGGGAAATGACCCATTCCTCGAGGAATACCGACTTCCAACGGAGTACGCGCCCGACCCATGTCCGAACCCTTCTTCCATAGCAGATGAGTGCGCCGACGACAAAGATTTTCATGCGATTTTGAAGCGATTGTCGGATTTAACAACCAATCCCGGAGATTTGTACCGATTATGTTTCGGCTCTAGATTGTCATTCTGTGGACATATGTCCGGTACGGTGGAAAGAGAGGAGCCAGACATTGAGGGAAGCAGCAAGAGCGTCACTATACACAAGAATGAACGTGAAGATGCTGAGATTCCTTTAGAAACGGCGGCAAAATTGAATGCAGAAAGACCGAGTAATGAACAACAATGTGTCGAATTGCTGTCCTTAATATCTTCTTTAATGAAAAAAGTTAAGGAAAATCCAAATTTTTTTAAGGAATCGGGTTTAGGTAACTCGCTAGTTGCTCAACTGTCCTCGTTGCTTCCCGCGTTGGAAGATTCAAAGAGAAATGACAGGCAATCACAGGAACCATCACTGATCCATTCTAACCCCCACGATCTGTGCATCTCACAATCGACGACCAGCGGGGACGACGAGCACAAAAGCCTTGTAATTCCAGAAGAATCTAGACCGGTTAGAGAACCTCGCTTAGACAAAAATCATGCCAATGATCCGTTACAAAAGCAATACTCCACCCAAATCCTTCCCGTTGGTCATAACACAGAGGCTGATGAAAAGCTTGGACCCTATCACACGGCAGAGACATTACCATCGAACCAAGAGAAATCAAGTGTCTCCCTGGAACTAGAAACATCTAATATTCCTGGTTCGATTTTAAATGACTGTTCAGAAAATCAAAACAAATATCTTTCGCCCTCATGTCAAAAGAAGGAACTGGAAAATACATTTCCTTCCTCAAAAAGAGAAGGGGAACTTGATGGAGACACTGCTTTCATGGGAGACCCGTTAGAAAGTCATGACAAAGTACCATTTGCCTCAACCGAAAAAGAAGTATTCCAGACCACATTACCTGTAGTATCTTTCACTAAGGAGGATCCTTCCAACCCGGAACATTATAACAGTTGTCCTGATTCAGAATGTCAAATAGACAACCAATGCGAGACACCGTCGCTCTTTACCAATGAAGAAAAATCTTATCCAGCCAACGCAAAAATCCCACAGTCTTATAAAACTGATGATGTTGATTCAAATTTACAACATTGTGCGGACAAAGTTGATTATCCAGTACCCCCCGAACAGAGCCAAGACAATATTTCAGTTCCAAATGTTAATTACACTGACGCCCAATCGTCTGACGGCGCGAACGAAGATTCAAGGGACGTTGTTATGAACGGGCGGCGAGCTGTAAAACCTTACAGCTGGGATTACGGGGACATTTGGGAGAAAGAACTCGAAAGAGCCAGAGGCTCCGAAGCGTTTCTCGGAGAGTCGGCACGAGAGATGATGCCATCTTTTGAAGAAATACGGGACGAGTTATTCCACAATGCTGGTTTTCTTTATGACAACAGTGATCGTTCTGCCGATGCTACGAAGCGTCGAAGCCGATCCGCCGACTCAAGGTAATAACAAGTGTTACGATATAATTTTTGTCTGTATTCAAATAGCGCCGTAATTAGCGCTTGCAAGAAATACGTCATTTCAATTCACACAACAGCTCTAGCTGTCATTATTGGCATCTTGCATTTCAAATATTGAACATTGTACATTCAAATAATCTACTACTGTTTCAGCCAAATAAGAACAAAAAGGCGCCGCTTTCTGCTTCTTGGGCGGCATTTCGTTTGCGTACAAGATCAATCTGACATCAACTTGCAAAATTGCCGAAATATTCATTAACATCTTTCTGATGTGAAAACGTTGATTGTGCCTGAAGTTTTCAGATGGTCAAAAATAGCCTTTTAACCGAGCAGTTGCCACTTAGTCTGGCTGTATACGCAGAGCAGAAAAACGAAGTATGTGTTCGCCCCTGCCTAAATAACAGTTCTCTCGCCTGTATTCAAACTGCTCGCTTACAATCACACTCGTTGAGTGCTTATCACTTATAAATCCTTTCTTAAAGTCCTCTCTCAATCAATAGAAAGGTTTGAGGTAGGACATGGAAAATCAACTCTAATTCGAATAGAAATACCGCCATTATCCATGGAATCGTTACGAGGTGATTAAGATCTCACACTCAATGAGTTTGAGTGTCAGTTAGCTTTTAGAATAAAGCTTATTACGTAATTTTTCAGTTAATTTTTTACTGATAGACACTACACATTAATTTTTAGGCCCAGTTTACCAGACGATATTCCAACACAACCAGAGTACTGCGGTATGCCGAACGAGGTGCATTCTCCGTTCGTTCGAACTATATATCAAGATGAGAACAGGCCGAGTACGGCCGGGTTGAGACGAAGCTGGAGCTCGCATCATATTGGTGACAATTCTGTAATGGTGAACGTTGATTGGGAACGTGGAAGACAGGTTAGTGTTAGAATAGTACAAGGGTAAAAACACCTGTAGTTTCGTTTAAACAGAGTCTAGTTTGAAATGACTTATTTTTATTTAATGATTTGTTAGCTTTTTTGGAGAGCACCATGCTGTTAGGCTGCTGTTAGCATGTTTAGCAATCTCGTCCCCCAGACAATCTTTTTTTTCACTTGTAAATATCCACCATTTACACGCGGTAGATCATGGCCTAAAAAGGGCGACGACGTCCTAAGGTCTGTTCACACGATCCAGTTTTGTTCGATGAAATTAATTTCTGACGTATGGAGTATAGTCGGTTATTGATGAAGCAGAATGAAGCAATAGTGCATTAGCTTGAGTGCATGATTTACTGCTCATATGCAGACTATTAAACATCCATGAGAACTTCTGATGAGTGAATTGGATCCAACAAAATTAGATCGTGTGAACAGACCTTTAGAATGAAATTGTGAGCAACGTTCAGATTTTAAATCACAAAGATGTTCACCTGAAGGATAAGTGATTGAATTACAAAACTGATTAAGAATTACAGTTAGGAAGATTAAGTTAGGGTGCTCAAATAGACACAAGTACTCTTGTCATGGCTCTGTTGTACGTTTTGGGGGGCTTACCAATAACACCGTTAAGACCTGTCAGACATGCCACATTAGTTGTCTATTTTAGGCAGATTAGCAAAAATAATTTGGTCGATATTTTCTTTAAAACTAAGATGGAAATCTTCTAATAACTGATTTGCCTCACACAGGCAAAATCTGCTCCTCTAGGCTTGACTATAGCTTGAAAACGTGGCGAAAATGAATTAAATTTTTTAATAATATTAAATTATCTTTTTGCATAGGTGATCACTGGATCCTCTGGGCGAGGTTTTGATAGTGTTCACGCTCAGATTATCAAGGAAGCGGTCTTGAAAAGCAGTACGTTCACAGGGTCGAGGCCTTGGTCTGCATTAAAAAGACGTCCGTCTGGGTTACGACGACGTTCAGGTAAAAATGAATTGTTTCATTCCAAATACAGTGGGCAATCTCATGAAAGGATCGATAATGATTCGGAAAGCAGCGATTCCCCCTACGTCAGCGCGACGTCTTCCGACTGTCTTACTTCGGCGACTGACGACAGCTCTAGCGTGACTTCTTCACCGAATTATGCCACATCCTCGCTACCTTCGTCACCGTCCGTGAGCAACCGTAATAGCGCATGTTTCTCCGACACTAGCACATCGGATGCTTCGGATATTCGAAGAGTTGTGTTTCAAAGTTCCCCATCCGAGCTTTCCTTTCACGGACATTATGCAGGAGGATACAATGCTCTCACAAGACGTGGTATTACATTAAATGAACGTTTTAGGGAAATTGAGAGTCATTACGGTATCTCACCGAACATGCAAATTTCTTCAATTGAGGGCGTAGAAAGTCCTCTAGTAAATGCGGAAAACTTCCATGAAGTACGATCGAGAAACGTACGAGAGAACTCATATGCCTTTCCTCGAAAACTGCCCAACCCAATGTCGCCGTTGCTTGTTCGTAGCGACTCTGACCTGAATAACCTTACAAAGGTGGAGTTTGTTGGCGACTCCTATTCACGATCTCGCATCAGCAAAAATGTACGACACACTCGAAATAGATCACAAAGTCCATTGTCTCTCGGACCAAGCTCTGCTCACACACGCGTGGTTAGTTGTGAGATTGTTCAAAGTGATAACGGAAAACAAGATGTTTATACCAAGGTATGTTTCCACACACTCCGTATTTATTTCAATGATTCGAAGGAAATTTTGAGTGCCTTTATATTATAGGTCTTTTTTTAATAGAAATAAAACGTATCTTGTTGCCAAGCGAAGTTTCCTATATTGGTTTTTCTCACACTAATTTATGGCAGTATCCATAAATCTAACTGGAAAAAATGTTGAAGTTAAGCATGGCATTGTTGTATTTTTACCTTCCTGTAAGAAAAGATTCTTCGACCGCGGAGCCGGCCGTTTGGGGCGAGTCAAGGGGTGGGAGAGGGGGAGATGATATCGGATAATCTTTTGCGTGGAGTGTGATATTAGCATTAAATTCGCTTTTTTAAACAGGCTCGCGACACCTGTTTAAAATATTGTTTTGTGAAACTGACTAGTCTGACCTCATGCTTGTTACAGGTTAACATTGCCGAGTCTCTTGACGACGACAGAGATAGGAAATTTCACGATGGCTGGAACAATAAAATGGGATACCCGAGTTCTCGGCGAAGTTGGCACGGACAATCGTCGACGCGCGCCTCGAACCGGTATTACCCGACAAAGAATATCGTAGCCGCGTCAAACGGATCAGGAAGATACATCAATCCACTTTGCTCTACATCACATCAACGATACGCCAGTCATTCCAAAAATGAGGCACGCAGTGAAAAGCCAGTTCATGCTACACTCGTTTCCGTTAACAATCATAAAAATAGAGGGCGTACGCATTGGTCCACAGGAAGTCTTAGAGTGCCCTCCAAGGAAGAACCTTGCCGTTTGTCGAATAAAGTCACGAAAAGATCTAGATTGTGCGGGCATTCAACTTCTAACATTGAATTTTCTCCGCATTTTGAGAAGAATTTTCAAGGGTATCAGTGTAGAAATTTCGGAAGAGATCAATCCGTATCGCGTCAATCGTCGGATATTAAACTAAGATCAGGACGCCCGCGATCGCCACCCGTCTACGCTACAGCCATGAACAATTCACAAGGTATGTTATTGCGTTATGTGTTTAAGAATTCACTTTTTGAGACATGCGAATATTCCATACACATTACATACATCACATCCATATACATACATCATTTATCAAAAATGCTGATTGGTCAATTGACTGAAGTGTCGATGGGTTAGTAGATTAGGTGGTTGTCAATCAATCAAACGGATGCGTGACAATCGTTCACGTAATGTTGCGTGGTACAGTAATTAGATTAGACCAATTAATACAGAGTGTTTAATTTCTCGTGATGTCGGACATCACTGAGGTAATTTATTTTGGCGTATATTCAATGCATTATAATCTTGACTAGAATTCTTTTCCAGGTAGCAGCATCATATTTTAGTTACAGCAAGGTTACAGTTGCCAGATTAACGTTTTTAGCCGTGTATTTCGGTTGAAAGTAATATTTAAACTATTTTGCAGCCATGCTTTCGCTATTTTTATTACACAGAGAGAAATTTATCTCAAGATGCCTATGTGATTTATATTACTAACACTATAGTGATAATGCATTATATATCGATTGAGGAATATGAATTAATATTGTGATGGTGCTACTCTGAGTTGCCAACTAGGCAAGCTGAGAAATTAGCTACGATGGAAATCGAGTCTGATACACCTACTCGAACTGTCTTCATCTAAGTAGCTTAGCCGTTAATTGGAAGACCATTGAACTAGCAAAACAAATAAAGGGTTTCATTTCCACCATGATCAAGTTAATTTTTCAGCTTTCCTGGTTGACAACTCACGAGTAGCATCATCACAAAATTAAATTCTGTTCCCAAATCTCAATACTTTAAAGATTTGCAAAGGCAGAAAAAACGGATGGAATTGCCAGCGAATGAGAAACGTTGTGCAGATAAAGACTCTTCTGGGCGCAGTTCGCTCATGGAAAGAAACAGAATTAAAGCCAAACCGAAGGAGCGAATGTCACATATTGTCAAAGAAACGTCGTTTGTTGGACCTTCAACCTTCACGAAATACCAAACCTCATCAAATCCGTCATTGACCCAAGCGAGGCGTTCGAGAAGTCTGAATGAGAGGGATGCGATATCACGTCGAAGATCACAAGATTCCGACATTTACAGAAGGAGAGCGTTGGAAGCTAATTTCAGTGATGGAGAATATTTATGTCCTTTCTCAAGGTAAGCCTGCATGGGTATGTTTGAACCAGGTTATTTAATCCAGTGAATTTTACTGCAACAAATTTAAACAACCGATTAGCTATATGTCTCGAGTGACTCGCGGTTTGTGGTTATCTTTCCTAAAACCTGTAACTATGGAAAAACCCTAAATCTAAGCTAAAACCTCACGCAGTCCTTCTGATAAAAATATGAAAAGGGCTGATGATTTATATTTTTCACTCACAATCATATTAACGCACACGTCCCAATCGAGTGTAACTTCCACGCATGCATAAGTCAAAGAACTCCAGGCTACGGCCCGACGAAACTCACCGCAAGTAGAGATAGACTGTCCGTAGGCTCTACCAGTTAAATCGAAGACCATATGAGTCGCTCCCTTTGTCATGTCTCTTTGCTTTCTGTCGGATGCAAGCATAGCCAAATCACAAAATAATGCGAGTGCAACTCGACTCTAGCGGCTGTATTCTGAAAGCTTACTCACACTAACACTTGAGTGCCATTCCAGTCAGGTGTACTCAAGAAGAGTTGAAGTGTGAGCATGAGTGGAGTGTGAGCGATATGTTCTGCTCATTGAGGTAACACTCATCCTCAACAAATGTTGTTCAATTTGTATTCACTGAGGTCACTCAAGTATAACTTAGATGAGTCGCACTCGCCTTTGTTATCAAAATCAGTGAAGTGTAGCTTACTTTAGTGCAGACAGGATACTGCATAACCAATACAGGGAAGATGTCCCAAATAAGACAGTATTTTTCTGAATTAGAGAAGTCGCTTATAACAGAATTAGTTGCAAAGCATAAGGATGTCCTTGAGAACAAAAGGAACGATTACAAAAGTATACAGCAAAAAAATAAAGCCTGGGGCTGGGTAACTCTGACAGAAGAGTTTAACAGTCAAGCGGGTGTCCCGAAGCATGCCTTGGATGTCACCACGCTCAAACTGAGCGCACAAGCGACTGTTATCAAATATTCTCGAGTCGTGCACACTGCCTGGCCACCGCACAACGATGTTCTGTATTTCTAGATTTGGCCCAGAAACTGCTTGAACATTCAGTGAAAAAAAACCCCTTCAGATTTCTAAACAATTCTGCGTTTTCTCCTCCTGGGCATGGAGTTTTTATATGGGTACAATCAATCGCTCCAACAACATTAGGAAACGAGCATATTCTCCAGAATTCAAGTTTGGTTTTCTGTAGCATTTCAACAGCAGGAAATTTGATATAATGAACTTTCACTCGAGCAATGGCCTCAGATACGCATGCACTTAATGACGGTTGTGATATGTTACATAGGTCCGCATATGCTTCCTGAAACGTGCCAGTTGCGTAATAACGTAAAGTGAATAAAAGCTTAATTTCTGCAGGAATTGGATTCCCTCGTTCGTTATGAGCAGATATATCTGCCTCTATAATATCAAACATCTCCCGAAAAGCATCCATAGTTAATCTAAATCTGCTTCTAAATTGTTCTTCATCATAAATTTCATATAGTTGAAATACTAATTTCTATTCTCCTTTTTGTTATCGCGTTGCAAATTGTCCAATTGTTGCAATCTTTCAAGCCATAGATTCGCCATGTTGTTTATCACAACTTTGTGTGAGTGTGGTTCAATGGAGGTATGACCTACACTCATACTGAGTGCCGTTTGTGAATGGTCCGAGGGCAAGTGTAACTTTCCACTCAATGAGAGTTAAACGCCTGTATTCAAAAAGCTCACTCACACTCATACTCATCGAGTGTGACATATAAATTTCGTTAATGCTGATCAATGAGAAAGTTTTTTCTGAATAGATGGAAAGATATAAAGTAAACCACTGAAAATCAAGCCCCTGTTCGGCTGGAAATACCGCCATTGAAACTTTATGAGAAGATTAAGATCTCCCACTCAATGAGTTTGAGTGTGAGTGAGCTTTTAGAATACAGGCGAAAGAATGACTCAGTGAGTACAGAGTTGCACTTTCGAGTAATGAACCTCTGCTCATTGAGTGTGAGTGTGAGTAAGCTTTTAGAATACAGGCGTAAGTATTATCATTATTATTGTTTCCTATAGATATGATTCTGATGGTACAACTATGCATCGCCTTGATCGTAGACGAAGATATAGCGAGGGTGCAGCATGTCGTCTGACGAGGCGTGAATTTGCGACTACAGATGGCCTCGTCGATTCCTCGTATTGCGATCCCCATCGGGAGTCCATAAGAGAAGGAACGTACTCGATCGTAAATGCTGAGTCTGCGCGCGAAAAAACGAAGTTGAGCGCTACTCATTTAGTCCGCCAAACTAGAGGAGAGATCAACAGTTCAAAGAACGTTGCGCCCGAAATAGAATGGAAAGATAAAAAAGCGAAACTTGTTGAACCGGGTAAAACAGGTAAGCTTTCTTGCGTATTTAGTTAGCCACGAGTTTGAGGTACCGAGATGTTAGTGATGGTTGTTTTTCATTCTTCTACTTAAAAAAAATATAAATTACGGTCGACTTCTTGCCAAAAGCTGGATTACCACGTTTGGAGCGGTTCTTTAGATATTTTATGCACTTCTGAATAACTTAAATGCGCAATCCTGATTTATTTTATCGATGCTGGAACATTTCATGCATTACTTCGAACTCTAGCTAGCGTTGAGCTTTTATCAAGCACCAACACAATATTACGCGCCTGACTGCAGAGACACATAAAATAGCTAAATTTCCAGCTTTATTTTCAGTTACAAACAGTGGAGGCGCCGAAAATTTCGATTCCGTAGACAGTCGAACTCATCATTGATGCCCCCACCATTTAACTCGGTCCCATGCAGGTTGTTAGAAACCTGCCGATTTAAATGGCTAATATATATATATATATATATATATATATATATATATATATATATATATATATATATATATATATATATATATAATATATATATATAATTATATATATAACGTTAAACTAGTGGGCCTTTCATCGATGCATAGCAGCAGTCCAGTGGTCAAGGGGTTTGTTCTTGCGCAGGATGCCTGTGTTCGAACATTGCCTATAGTACAACTTAATTTGTTTTTTCTTTTTCGATATTTGCAAATTCCCAAATTGAACCAGCGACCCCCAATTTTGTTGTCTGATTATATTATCTGATTATATTAATAATATATTATTATCTGATTATATTATTTGTTGTCTGATTATATTATATTATATTATTATGAGGTCTTTTATGTTACGTAAGTACTTAATAGTGTCATGTGATGTTCGCTTCGGTCTTGACCCCTCTCCCCAATTGACCCCTAATTGTCCCCATTTATTCTAACTTGGCGCCGCCACAACTGGCTATATGCAATCGTTTATGGCCGGAGGCAACGTGCAGTGGCACAATTGGAGGGTCGGTACGTACCTATATGAACAAGCTTTGCTATTGGTTGATGATAACAATAAAACACAATGAACTATAAAAAATTGATTTGTAAAAGAACGAATCATAAACACTCTTCACTAAAGCCAATCATAAAACTCGTTCATATTAGGTAGATATTTACCGCAACTGGATAGATCATAATTGCATGTTTGGTCGTAAATACAAATTGTTCGTTCTTTCCTTTTGTATAGAACGGCAGCGAGGAATGAAGAAAAGCAATTCCAATTATAACAACGATTTCACGCGTGAGGATACACAAGAAAACAGATATTCAGGAACTGAGCTTGATCGATCAAACAGTCCTAAAGCAAAGGAGAAATTTACATTTGACAAACCAGCCAGTGACCATCCAATGTATTCGACTTCATCACATGCACCGGAAAAGCTGTGTGGAAACGACAAAACGGAAAATGTAGATTATGCTTCATCCGAGAAAACATTCAAAAAGGTGTCGATGGAATCGGAAAGTAGTAAAATTCACGGTATAACATCTGACAGAATCCATCAACCCAATATAAAAGAGGAAAACATTTCGCCAGTGTCGCCATATTGTAAGACCTCGTACGGAAATACTGACAAATCTGCGAGACCATTGCCGAATGACTTAAAAAAGATTGACTCAACTGTTCCGCTATCCAGTATTTCAGATGATGCGAGTCAAGTTATTTTAGCGCCTGAATTGCATTCGAATAAGGTTAAAAGTAATGCCGATTTTGATGTTTCCAACGAAGTAAAGGTATTACATCCAGAGATCAATGTTGGTGGAAATGCTTTGACAGAACCTCAACTTGTTAGAAATGATGATGATAATACATCTCTGTCTCAGCGTTTTATACGTACGAAGAAAAATGAGATAAACGCAACTACTTTTCACCAGGAAATATTTCCAAACCAACAGGTCAAAGTCGATAGTCTTGCTTCTTCCACATCACTCGTCAACGCTTCTCGAAAGTCAAACGAAGCAAACTTGAAGCACGGGGGTTTATTCTCGCCTCTGTTGTGCCGAATGGTAACGCAGACGATCTCGATGGAGAGGATCCCAACCAGAAGAAAGAAGAAAATAATATCATTCCGATTTTGCCCGATCCTATCATACGCGACCAGAAAAATGAAGTAAATGTTTTTATCGACTATCGAAATAAAAGACCTGTTTCAATCGAGTATTCCGACGAAGATATCTCATTTCTCACAACTTTGGGAAGCTCCGCACGAGCATCGAGAAAGTTCAAAAGAAATAGCAGTGAGGAGAGTAGAATAAAAACAATAAAAAACCGTCCGTCATATGCTGCATTAGAAACGGAAAGTGTTGTTTCGACAAAACAGACGATGAAGAACTCTGAAGAAGTTTGCCGTTCCAGACTGAGCCGTAAAGATAAACACGAAAGTGATCTTCAGAATAACAGATTGAAAAATCTGATTCAAAAAGACAAATGTCAGTTGGTTCCTGGTGAGTATTTTAGGTTTCGTTTTAGCTCATATTTCTAAGTTTCGACTAAATCTATTATCATTCTTCTCCTGACGACAGTTTAGTCAAAACGTAGAAATTACAAAATTTTACTTTTACGGAGTTTCTATTGTTTTATGTTATATCAAATTGCTCAATGCATGGTTCCCGTAATCTTAAGTCTCTTCTGAAATATCAAAAATAGAAAAATTCATTGGTAAGGAAACTGCAATACATCATGTATCAAAGTTTAGTTTTTTCCTATTGTACCCCATATGGGATAACCGCCTGGATAAAAAAATTACAGAATAGAGCAGTAGAATTTTACACAACTAACATTGAGAATGCAAGGGGAATTTGGTCTAACCTGTCTTACTTGCTATTTTTTCGGAGAAGTGCCACTCTCCACTTAGCCTAAACAAGCCTAAATAATATAAAAATAGTGATTGGCCTGTTGTGAATTTGCTTTTTTATTTTCACCCATAGTGTCGAATAATCACAAACTTTCTCCGGAACCATATCGTCGTGACAATACGATTGTTTATACTGACGCGAGAACTAGCTTTGGGAGTGATACGGACAGCATCTCCCGCGATAGCACGATATCATCCAGCGGTTCGGACATGACTGTGATACTCCAAGAAGACATTGATATATCCGTTGACGATTTGAGACAACTTAAAGAAAGCGGCTCAAAGATTGGAATCGACATCGCGCCGATCGTTGTCGAAACGGGTGACGATCTGTTGGAGGGGTGCACTGATATTTCGACCGAAATGCCGCCAGCTATGGAATTGTCAAAAACTTTGAAAAATTATCAGAAATCAATCCCAGCCGAAAAAGGTAATTCAAGTACCCAATCAATTCCAACAAAGGAGGCAGTTAACCTGAGAGAAAAATCGCCCTCCATAGTACACAGTGATAAAAGTAACTTTACGAAACGCTCGATTGATTTTAAAAACGGCGAAAGGTTATCCAGTCACTATTCAACGCCATCCAATTCTAATGTATCCTCTGCGTCCTCGTCCGTAGCTTCGTCGCGTGCAAGCAGCAAAACAACCGTAAATGAAGGTTCTGAGGGCAAGAACTCCTCGAAATCAGGCGAAGGTGGGAAAGGCTTCCTCTCCAGATTGAAAAGCTTTCGGAGTAGCTTCCGGGCTAAAAAGTCGGATCAGAATTCTTTCGATAAGAAAGGTAAACATAATAAAAATTCCCAAGGGAAAAGTAAGGAAAGCAACACTATCTGTAACGAAAGCAAAGGTACGTCCCGACAATTGCCGACCAATACCGATAATAACTCGAATATATTATTTAAACATCGGAAGAGAACAAAGTCGGAAACCAGAATTGTGAATACTAAGAGCAGTGAAGCTCTTTCACGAAGATCGTACGACGCATTCCGGCATCCCAGCAATAGTCTCCGTGACGTAGTTGGAGCAAAATCGCTGTCGTCAGACCATTTAAACAGATATCGTATAAGCAATGCTCCGAACTTCGACGAAATAAATGCGAAAAGTTTGGAGGTGCTTGTGGAAACTTGTATCTAATTTCTGCGAGAAAGTTCAGAAAGTTCTCATGTTTAACCCTAAATCACCTGAACGTCCTTTATCTACGTGCTAATATAAGCTGTAGAAAAAACTGGACTTCCGATGACAACAACAGCAGGAGCAATTTGAAATATCATCTTTTCTAAACCTTCGTGGGCATGTGGAGTTTCCAACATATACATACGTGATGCTTCGAGCGTACGTTTCTATATATATAATGTTAAAAAGCAACTGGTGACTTGTGACAGCAACGGCTTAGACAGATTAGTACGTATGGTATTACTGCCATGCCTTTCAAGGCTTTCACAGACTTTTAAGCTGGCCTGTTATTAAGTTGCGAAACTTGTTTATTTCAAACATATCGCTGAAATTCGTGACAATAACTCCGGAATGTCTATAATGGTAACGAAAACAACAAAATATCGACTTCCATTTTGTAAACATTCCATCCATATAGTGTAGTTTTAGAGATCAGTGAATTAAATAAATGACGTTATTACCCCGTGTGGTTAATATTTAATTAGGTTAACTTTTAGCAATCACGGATATGTCGGACAATAACAATAACTAAAAACCAAAGAATCGACGTTTTCTTGAACTTTCAAATTAAAGACCGCGATTAGATCGTTTTTGAAGTAAGTCAAGTATACTTTTGATCGTTTTTGGCCTTTGAATTTCATAAGAATAATATATAATATATGCCTGAGATACGGTTAATTAGTTACCGATATTTGAAGTTCGATGCATAAAATTTATCTAATGTGTATGTAATTTGAAGCACGAAGTCCTGCTTACTTCAAGAAAGTTTAAATTGTGTAAAGAAATAACTTTTCACGTCGTTTTGCTTTTAACAACACCCGTATTAACGCAAGACTGCATGGGTTCACTGGTACATAGCAGGTATGGCTTTTTTGTGGCTTTTGAGCACTTGATGATACTGGTACAGTTAAAAGAAGACTTATGGAGATCAATTTCACCAGGGAAACTGAACAACATTAAATCAACGGGGGAGGGGGGGGGGGGATTTGCAACGAAATTCCTTAAATTGATAAGAAGACGATTGAAGTTTAAGATGAACACGCTTATCCCAGGATACTTTAGACCCCACCACTGTAGGGCCGTAATCCAAATTCAGTTGTATCAAGTTGTATCAAGTAAATCGTTCATACTGTATCATACACGTGTTTTCAAAAATCCGTTCTTGAAACTAAAAATTCGAGAGTAGACATCGTACATAAAAAACGAATGTTTAAGCGTTGTAATCGTTTTACTTGCATTTTCCAAAAATGGCACACGTTATATACGGTATAGTAACAGTCCTTTTCGTGTCCAGTCGAACTTGGGTTTTGTCAGGTTGGTCCATAATAATTTAGCATTTTTATCATCCAATTTTACTCATCGGGTCAAAGTTCTGTGTGGCGATGATAATTAACATACCTGGACCGAATTACCATATTCTAGCAAAGTGAAAAGTTGCCGTATGCCATTCTGGCAGAAATTTGGTCACAAGATAGCGTTAAGATGTAGGGGTAAGGTTCACTAAACACAATTCTCATATTTCACGGCATTCTTACTATTTTTCTGTTGTACAGGGATGATGCACAGTGTTGCGATCGTTTTCTTGGTGTTTGTGCAGGGAATATGTTTATCGTTGGCATATGATCCTCGAGGTAATTTGTTCTATAGAGTTGTCAAAAGAGAACTGTTTTAAGATCCAGTGCAGAGGAAATATTCGTATTCGAAACAGAATTTATTCAGTGCATAAGATTGAGCTGTTTTATAAGTGAAAGGACTTGCAGCATGAGGTTTCAAATGTCCATAAAAATCGCGCCAGAAGTGCCTGCATATACGGCCGTGCACCTTTTGCTTAAAAAATAGATAAAACGGGCAAAATATCCGATTCACCAACTTGATATAAAATATGGTAGTATCTTTAACTTTACGAGCTAGGTTGCGCTGCCTGTGAAACATCCCTGTTATAAAATCTCGCCGTAAAATACTTATTTTTTCCCAATGTTTTTTTGATTTGGTTAGTTTCAGGGTGCATGTATGTGTGGAACCCTTTCCGACTGAGGCAGTGAGCTACTAGGTTAAAACGGTTCGAATACGTAATATTTCGGAACTCATGCACAACGTTCGTCTGCATATCAGATGATGAATATCACGTAATTGTTTAACTTGATTTCCACTAGATCTTGCCGGATTCCTAAACCCCGTGGCTCCCCCTGCTCCGGCGGAGGCAGAGATGTACTGCCCCGGTCTTTGCAATCCGATCTGCTCTCCTGGTTGCACCAGAAGTTGCTGCTTCAACGCCCCGAGATCGTCACCGCACTGGGAAAATATGCCACAGCCTAACCAGAACTATTATGGTATGCGAATGTCAGGACGAAGATCGAAAATCCCAGACCCTACCAAAGAACCAACGGTGAGCAAAAATCAGAGAACGTGGTTTAATAAAAAATATTTATGTACAACCTAATTGAAACTAAAAAATATTTCCTATCACATTCAGAGATATTTTTTACGTTTGCGAAAGGAAATTTTTGTTGCAAAAATGTTTTCCGATTGGAACAAAATGCATAATCGAATTGGCGACTTCAGACGCCATATTTTTATAATCTGTAACCATTACCAAATTTCTCTTCAGTCTACCCGCTTTAGGAAACGTAATGAAACATATATAGTTCGCATGGACACATTGACCTTGTTTTATGGCCTGTGAAAAGTCAATAATTGTTGTCTAGACCGGGGACGTTATATTGTTTTAATTCGCGCGTTTCACATGCATATATAAAGACAAAGGGCGCGATATAAAATGGTGTTTACCTCGATTTAGAATATCTAACTCTCGCTCCATCCGGCTAACTCGAAGAGACATGTCGCAGCTCTCGGAAGCTTTCGTCCAATTGGATAATGCTTTTCTATGCTTTCTAAAGAACGAGGCTATGCTATTGGTTGAAACAGAAATGTATTGTAAAGTTCAACCAATGAAAATCATTCTTGCCAGGAGCTGCGACACCACCCAACTCGAATATACCAACATGATCTGCTTAAGAAAAACCCTTAAATTCTGAAAAATGTTCATGCACTTGCGTCATCTTCCACGTCGTTCCTCTACTTCCCGTTCATTCAACAGTTCTTGTTATATAGCTAAAGAGAAATGCGCATAGTCTCTAGTAACTCGTCTCAATTATTCAAAATGGTCTCAAGAGGAACCATACAAATGATGATGTTGTTTATTCTAATGAAGTTAGTCGGGGGAAACCTCGTACCCAGGGTCTTTTCTCTTTGCTCACTCTGGAGGACGAGGTTGAGTCGGATGCTGGTTTTACTCCCTCTAAAATTGCCCCGTTGTCGGGATAACCTGGATTATTATTGGTAATTTTACACGTATATTTTGACTGGATTTTTGTCTTTTAATAGCAAAGTGTCTATGGTTGTGAAAGCAAGCAGTTAACGATAAAATGCAAAAACAGATCTAACAAGCTTTTCATAACAAACTCTTTCTACGGGCGAGACGACACGAAAATATGCAGGCATCCTGTTCTTCCTTATGAAGCTTACTGTCGTGGTCAGGAAGATCTCATCCACGAGAAGGTGCAGAATTTGTGTAATGGCGAAAATGAATGTAGGGTTGCCGTCAAAGATGGCCTTTTGCTACGCGAGGGTACAGTCTTGTGCCCAAGAGTTTATAAATACCTTAAAGTTGATTACATCTGCACTCAACATCCAGATATTTACGAATAGAAATATTAAAAAGTTAATGACAAAGTGCATAATTAACAGGACAACGGGAATCGTCATTTTTATATGTTTACAACGCATGGATCTCTATGTAAGATTTCACGGATTCGTTCGAAGTGGCAAAAATGGATAAATGCATAAAGAAAATTTTCAAACGTGCTCAATCATTCAAACTAGTATATATTCCTCAATTCTATTGACTGATTGACACGTGTTTCACCACTGGCACTGCATGCAATGCTATAATGCATCGCCTGAAGGTTGTGTGGCGTTTAATTTTAATAGGTATTTTTTGGCGTTGAAGCACTCGTTAGGGACATACTCCCATAAAGGAAACTTTAGAGTTAATATGATTAATGGATAATACACTTGCCGAGAATTAGGGAGAATTGTAAATTTCGCGCGGTTTTAGAAATTGTTGCACAAGATGACTGAGATTAAAGATGGAATAAGCCAAGCTGCCTTAAGATGATATCTTAAAAATATCAGCTAAGCGGATTTGACTCAACTTTTTGACTCAAGAATCCCTTAGTCCTCGATGTTGTAGATCATTAGATGCTTTCACCAGAAAGCAAAGTAAAATTAAACCACAGTAGGGGCCTATACTGCCTGCAACAACAATAGGAGGTGGTTTTCACTATCACCGTGCACTTCATGAAGCTTACAAGGTCCAAAAAAAAAGGCTTGAGGGCAAGCGATTGCTTCAAAGAAAACATGGAGTGCAGGAGTGGTACTACATAGTGAACTTCTCAGATACTGCGTATAGTATATTCAAAAGTATCATAGTCCTTCAGCTCGTGTGGGAAGGGGTGGCAGTTGGTCAAATTTTGGATAAGGCAATTTTTCAGTAGGCAGGCAAATATACACAGATTTGGGAAAGCGTTAGGATGGCGGCGATTATAATGATTTTAAATCACTACAACGAAAAGCTTTTGAATACGTTAACGGCATGCAAGTACGGACAAAGTGAGCCACCGCCCCCCAGAAATAGAAGATCCTGTACGCCTATGGCAAGTATGAAGCGAGTATTTACGACAGCCTGAACCATCCCAGCATAGTCTTAGATGAGATCGGATCACCCAAAACAATAAACTGTCCCAGTGCGTATCCGAAAAGCGCACGGATGGGCGAGTAGGGATGACGTGTGAAAGACACAGAGCGCTTTAAATGATCTTCTTAAGAGAAAGATGAAGAAACTCTCGAATATAGACGTGCCTGAGTCTACCCAGTTAACTTCTTTCTTGTGTAAAAGCAGTTTTCTGATTGGTTCCGAGCAGGTACGTTTTTCGAGCTCACCTGCTGGTTCGAACTCACCCGGTAAGGGATTTTTAAGAATTTCCAAAAATTAGTATGAGGTAACCAATTTAAAATTGGTACTGTGTTTACAGAATACTCTCATATACATCTTATGACTTAACCTACATCTCCGCTCAGTTAATTGTTCAAGAAGGAGATAAGTTTGTTACCCATTTTGAAATTATCGTAATATCGATCGCCGTTTAAGATAAACGCCATTTGAACATCAACCATTATCATACAACGCGGTTCAACGGTTGTTAAATTCAAGCGCAGTTTTTTTTATACAGGGTGTATAAAAAAAGCTCTTTTTAGATCAAATGTTTACTGAAAAGCGTGAAAGTTTTATAATTTAACAAAAATTATCACAAGTGCAAGTATAAAACACGGGGACGTCGAACTTTGTACTGTTATGGTTAGTGTTAGTAACGAAAACACGAGCAAGGTAAATTGTGTACATTAATAAGTTAAACAATCAAATTCAGCGTTGTTGATATTTTTGTTAATCACTGCGGTCGAACTTTGAATTTCCGCGTAATTGAACACGATAAATCAAAAACCCTCTTTGTTTTGTGGTTAGCTGGGCCATCCATATCGAATTTATAATATTCTATATACACATATATATAGCATTAATTTGTGTGGCTATCCGAATAACATGCATGGAATAAAACGTGTATTTATATATAGAAACCTAGCTGAGGCAGAAGTATACTGATTAGTTGCACTGGCATTGAAATGCCATATTTGCAGCAGTTAGAAATTATGGTGTTTTATTTGCACCGGCATCTACGCCCAAGCGAGCAGAAATTCAGATAATGATGATAATTTATAATGGAGACCAAATTGCCAAGAACAAGAAGTAGATTTGCAAACTGCACGGAGACGGAAGTATAGCACTGTACTGTATAGTTACTAAATCACTCTTGCGGACAAGTTATTTACTGATCCCTTCTTAGTTTTAACTTTTAATACATAATTATATATACAACGAGGAGATAACAACAACAACAACCAGGTCGGCTGAGCCTGAGTGAAGTCGCAACTTTACAAAAATAAAGATGGATTCTCCATTTGAAAGAAACAAACAACAATCTTACCAACTCAAAGCTCGTGATTCACAAATTTTAGTAGCTATATCAGTATATATTTCACAGAAGAACAAATAATATAATTGAAAACTAATATAACTATGGACGAATCTTTTCGCAGCCAATAGGCCAATATTTTGTAGTTGACACAATTAATTATTTAGTAGAAAATCGACAATAAACACAATTTTGCTTTACAATAGCGAACACAAAAGAGTCCACTTTGAACTGCAGGTATAGATAACCTTTGCAGGTCAATGGTTATTGTGTTCGTGAAAAGTTTTATTAAACATGACGGCTTGTAATTTCCAAACGAAATTCGAATGTAGCTAAGTAATGCGAATCTACAAAGTTACTTTAATTCAATTTATGAAGTTCATATGTTGATTCAACGCTACCACCTTCTACCGACTAATGCGGAACAAGTTTAACACAGCGTTATCAAGCGATGACTGGAGAAAGTCACAGGTACATATATACTCCTTAACGTAAACTAATTGTAATTTATCCTTTTTCTATACGAGTGTCAAGAAAGCAATAGATTGCCTAACGAGGGTTTAAGTTTTTCGCTTCTCTTTATCCGACGAGTAAACATAACAAACTCAACTCGGTCCAGTAAAAATTTGGCAAAAAAGGACTTGATATGTCTTAAATATACGCTAGTTGTGTTGAAATATAATTGGCGGGTGCATGTTAGGTTGTTTCTTTATTCTTACATTGCACAAATTACATGCATGGGATACAGCTATATATAAGCGAACAAGTTGAACATGTTTATAATACTGACGCATGCAAGATTTATGTAAAGGTATATTAAACGCACCATTTCAGAAAGAATGATGGTTGTTGAAAGATGCTGTTTCTATCATTTAACAACGCATTTTGTCCAGATTTAAATGACAATTCGTCACACGATCGAAAAATACTTACTGGTTTATCATAGGCCAATTTGAACGTTTTAATGGTCAATTCTTTTATACATATATATAAAGCTATAGTAAAAGCATAAGCTTATGGGCCGGCCGTAATTTTTTTAATTAAAAGCCCTTGCATTATATAAGTTGATGTAATAAATATAAGTTTCCTAACATAGCTACAAATAGTTTATACAGGCGTTGAGGTGTACACAGTGACAACATTTTAACAGGCTGCATGCATGCATAATATGTTAATCAAATACTACATTGTGAGTTACACAATCAAGCCCGCCGCACAAGAGAGCTATCAGCTTGGCAAACGACCTCGCGAGGCAGTTATCTCAGCCTGAAAACCATCCGCACACACCAGAAACCTGCCTCTCGAGGCGAATCCCTCACGAAAAACTATCCGCACACGAGAGTAACTTGCTGAGATAACAGCAACGCGTGGTATTTAGCTCAGCTAATAGCTCCCAGTTGCGTAGGGAGATTTTCAAAAGCCGCTGGACGCCTTAAGTCGCCTTAATTAAGTGTGTAGGAAGGGTCATCATATATTTGGGTATATTGAGCTAACGTTCAAGCCGTCGACGTTTTTGGATATAGGCCAGAGAGAAAAGACGTGCCTGTTATAGCTTCAGTTTACAACTTAGAAATTTAGCTTTGGATAAGTATACTTAAGACAAAAGATATGACTTTCGCACTCGGAGTTTAAAGGCGATTCTCCATTACCACCCGCTTCATCCGCGTTGGCGAAGCAGCTTTTGAAAACCTACCCATGCGACCTGACGCTTGGAAAACAAAGCGTAGTGGAGAGTCGCCTTAAGGTTTACCGTTTTAAAAACCTTTTGCAAATGCTATTAGGTTTAAAATGTTCGCGGCATGGCACTACTAAATTTTCAATTGGTGTAATATATCCAGTACTGCCCGACGGATTTCTTTCGTACGTGCTTAGTAATAGCTTATAATAGAAATCCGTCGGGCAGAACTGAATATATATGAATATACACCCCCTCCCCATGCAATTATCGTTCTAGATCCGCCCCTCGGTGGATACAAAGTTATAAATATATGGGTGGCCAAAAATAATGCCAGTAACTTTCTTACAATGCCAGGTACGACAGACATCGACATGGTAAGGTTATGGTCATTTGTTCTGGTTTGTTTTATGGTGTGCGCTTTAAATGGTAACGTATTTAATTTTGTATTACATACACTTTATAATGCTACTAATTTATATACACTTTATAATGCTACTAATTTATATACACTTTATAATGCTAATGTTTCGGTGAAATCATATAAAGCAAGATTTGCCCGATTTGTACTAGAGACGCATCATGCGTCTATACGAACTTAGGCAAGTGAAAGATATAGTTCATTTTCTAGTTCATTTGTGTGTAAACACGGGCAAACAGACGGATCATCCACCAGCACGAAATATCCGCATAGTTCGTCTATTTAGACGAATTTGAATGGTATATAGCTCGTCTCGACGCATCATTCGTCTGTTTACTAGTATTCAGGCTACTAAAACAAAGGCCGAGCACGGATGAAATGGGCACGGTACCCCATTTAGCCGTGCCGTATCAAAAAATCGAGTGTGGTCTAAACGGAGCTTATGTCACTATGCCATACGTAATGGTGTTTTATATTATTGATAAGATAATTAGCGTAGAGATAATAATGTTTGTATTTCTCCGACAGGGTACAAATATGAGATTTCAACGTTTACTGGTAATCGGTTTGGTGCAGGCACCGACTCAGATGTGTTTGTAACATTGTTTGGCGACAACGGAGATTCGGGAAGAAAAACCTTGGAACACAGTGGGTCAAACGATTTTGAGAGAGGGCAGTGAGTATTTTTATAGATACTGCTTTGAATAAGCGGTTTATTTACACCATGACAATGCCCATGCATTAAAATTACTTTTAGGCCTTGATTAAACGTCGCATTTTGCTCGCGTCGAATACAATTCACAAACAATAAATAATGAGATATGCATGAACAAACCTCATTAACATCACATTATCTATTGTAGAGGTTTAAGGGTTTTAATTTCGAATGGAATTATACACACTTCAAATTCAAGCCAGGAACAGTTGATGGAAAAATTAGTCAACCATAGGTCCTCCGGCAGGAATCGAATTCAATTACATTCGATACGCCCAAAATGCGAAGCGACCAAAATGCATATGATCTATTGTTTGAATTGCATTCGACGCCACCAAAATGCGACGCCTTATAACCTAGGCCTTAAAGGCCGACCTCCACTTGCACGTACGCGAAATCGCACGTATACGGTTTGTGCGTTGACGGCCACCTAGAAAGCAGACTGAGCATGCACCAAATCGACTGACTGACAGTACGTTCGAGTGGAGACCGGCGTTTTGGCACGTTTAACTTCTCATGCTCCCAACTTAATGATAATGAGCTAAAGTCTTTGTTTAAATTCCTTTACATTCGATTCGGCACTTGGCAAGTTCGCCCCCGTCCCCTTGCACACGATAACTGACATCCTATCGTGACCCTTCATGCCGTGTTATTTTAGATCGCCGTGGACTGCTTTCCACTGTCGCGTTTTTTAGCGCGCAGAAAATTATAAATGCTCCTAGCCTCCTCCGCAGGCATCTCTTATGTATTTATATTAGGCATTTATATTTGGCTTGGCATAAGAGATGCCTGCGGAGCTAGGAGGCCAACATACTCCCAAATTGTTATTATTTCACAAATGGTCAACAAATGCATACTAAAATATGCGGAAAAACGCGACATTGGAAGCAGCCAAAAGTAAAGGTTTTGCATTATTTATTCACAGGAAAGATGTTTTTACTGTGGACGCTGATGATCTTGGGCGACTAAATAGACTAGTCGTTGGCCATGACAACACATGGCTAGGTGCAGGATGGTTTCTTGATAAGGTAGCTATTTGTTTGTCACAATACGAGATAAATATGAGCAAAATTAACCCCTCAAGGTTTCTTCAGCTGACTGAAACTAGTCCTACATAGTGAAATGTAGCCCGATATATAACCACACCTCATTTTACTCTATTTTATTACATATTACTACCCTTACCAAAGTCAAAGAAAAAGAAAAATAATAATCCCAAAATAGGGCAAATCATCAGGGCAGCTAAAGTGCCACCTGTAGATCCTCAGGGGTAGCTAAAATTTCAGGGATTTCCTCAGGCAATTTAGTTTAACTTCGGCCTGAAATACCTCAGGGATAAAATCTTGGGTTTTCTAGGCGTATCCAAACTAGGGCGGGTATCTGAAAATCTGACCTCCAATCTTGTCCAAACTTTAGAATTTTAGAAGTAACCCCCGACAGCCTTTAAGGCCATGTTACACGGTGCAATTTTTCTTGCAACTTGCAATGCAATTCTACTTTTAAGAGATGTAAATTTGGCAACTACCGAACTTTTGTCTTTATTACACTCCATGGCGCTTCTTACACTGACATTTTAAAGAATCTTCACTAATTTACGTCTCTTAAAAGTAGAATTGCATTGCAAGTTGCGAGAAAAATTGCACCGTGCAACAGGGCCTTTAAACGCGCTTCATACCCCCAAAGGCAGACCTGGCTACGCCCCTGCTATTGTATCACCTGGAATTTCTCAGTCAAGTCAATTGACTATATAGCTTGGAATTCAAAAGGGGAATATTCACTACGGGGATATAAGGGGGATATACAAACTCAAAGTTAGACTCTCAACTATATACTTTCATGTTCAAAAGCTATTTACAGTATCTGAATAACTAGCAGTCTAATTTACTGCAAACTTCATTGATATAGATCACTGTCAAAACTGAAGAAGGGGTGACCTATGAATTTCCATGCTACCGCTGGCTGGCTAGTAATGAAGGCGATGGAAAACTGCAAAGGGACCTCATACCTTCATTGACATTTACTGAGAATGAGACTGACACAGGTGATTTCTTTTTTTATGTTGTTAAAATTATCTAAAGGCAGGATCAATTAATCTTATGTTCAAAGCTCCATGGTATACCAGCAGATGTTTTGCATCCCAAGGGTTTGAAACCCATCTTTTTCAGGTTATTTCTTAGAAAAGGTTCCAATTTATAATTCTCCCCGCACAATGTAGACTTGAGTATTTTGTTAGATTATCATATAAAGTATTAAAACACCCACAGATTCATGTCGATATTTCAGTAGGTGTTGATTGACTTTATTAGGGGAAATATACTTATAAACTATTTTATAATTTGGCAATCTTTATGTTTCTGGTCAAAGCCAAAGGTCGCCTGGCGTGTGATTTTATAGGCGCCTACATTGGCAGTGGCATAGCTAACCTGATGGCTTCTCACTTTGCAAATATTTCGCAGTAAATAAATACTAAAATCTTAGCATAGCGGGACTAAAGCGAAGTTTACACGAGCCTGGAAACGAAAAAGGCAGATGATGTTTGTCGGATGACTATGTGACTACTGCCATTTTAATACCTTTAAAGGCAGTTTACGCTACGGTAATCTTGGCTTGGCCAAGTGAGAAATGATCTTGAAGCATAAATTTCAAAAAAATTTAATAGAGTTAGCTTTTGTGCAATTCACATATGCTTTATATTATCTTGCAACAGGACAATGTCAGGAAGCTCTCGGAATATCAGACGGGAGGATCAAGAATACTCAACTATTCGCTTCATCATCGGCAGACGAAACTCAACAACCATTTCATGCGAGGATAAACAAAACAATAAAAGGATCCAGGGGAGGGTGGTGTTCAGCCTTTCCTGATAATACAGAATTTATTGAGGTTGACTTTTTAAAACCGTTTTTAATCTCAGGTTTGTAATGCGCGAGTTATATAATTTGTACCTACGTAATAATATTTAACAATTATTCGCCGATGGTTAGTCAGTAGTGCAGTCGGTCATAGTGTACACATTGGGGGGAGGGGAAGGGAGGGGGTGTTCTTTAAAAGAAAAAAAATTATAAAAAAATTCTGGAGGTGGGGTATAACAGAAGTGGCAACCCGTACCTCGAATATTAGGTTGGGTTATGTTGAAAACAAAAATCACAGTTGCTCAGTCATCAAGACGACGCCAAAGCTTTGCACTATTCTTGAATATCCAAATCCTTTGCACTATCATAGACGGCGGAAGATCGTTAAGTGGGGGTAATACACATATATTCAAGTTCCGTATTATCAGTTCTTTTTCAAATTGATTGTTTTTGCGGTCTTCCAACATGAATATATGAATATAAGCCCCCCCCCCGCCTTTATGCACTTAACGATTTAATGTATAAAAGTTATATATAAATATAAGGCCCAGTTTATACGTCGCATTTTGATTGCGTCGAATGCAATTCAAACAATAGATAATTAGATGTTAATGAGGTTTAAAACTTATAGTTATTTATTGATTGAATTGCATTCGACGCGACCAAAATGCGACGTATAAACTGGGCCTATAAGGGTTACAACATATATTGTTGTAAAATTTAAATAAGGGTGTGCGTCTGTGTGCCATTTATTCAATTATCAACTATATTTTTTCTGTTTTTAGGTGTAGCAACACAAGGGCCGGCATTGCTTGATAACTGGGTTACGGAATATATATTGCAATTCAGTAACAATAATACAAAGTGGGAACCATATAAAATTAATGGTACAACCCAGGTACAGTAGCTACTATGCTTGATATTGCACCAGGTACCAGGTGTATAATATTAGGTACCGCTTTGACCGCGCATGTGAAGCGAGCTTAGTTTTTGAGCCCAATAATACAGAATTTTAAAGACCGCTTCACACGCGCGGGTAAAGCGAATGCAATAAAAACAGCCTTGATTAGCACATTTTGGGCACCATTTGATACACTTCTTTTGACTGGTCTAACTTGCCTAATAAAAAGCGTAATTGCTGTGTAATACATGCAATATAATAATTGTCTTCTGTTATATAAACATCATCTTCTGTTCTTTATTAGATATTTAGTGGTAATGTCGACCGTACCAATATAGTCACCCATTGGTTTGCCAAACCTGTGACGTCCCGCTATGTGCGACTTATACCTCAGACGCGGCATGGTTCAACCAACTGTCTAAGACTGGAGCTTTATGGGTGTAAAACAGGTACACAAAATTAACGCGTGTTTGCTATAAAAGATCCATGCATCTACACATTATTATTAAAATGCATCTACACATCGTTATTAAAAGATATTTAATTATAAGGTAATCTCATAGCAACGTCGTGCATGTCAATTTCTGCTGGGGCTGTAGCTCTAAAGCCTGGTTTCCATTTAGTCGTAATTGTCGTGAACATGTCATTTTCGCCGATGAGAAATTGTTGGGATGTAAATTCGTCTTCATTCCTGTATTCAAATCTGTTATCAGTGGCGTAGAAAGAGGGGGGCACTGGGGGCACGTGCCTCCCCAAGATTTTTAAAGGGACCAAAAGTGCCCTTTTTGTGAAAAAAATGCCTTTTTGGGAAACGAAAAGAAAGAAAAAAGTATCTACTATTTCCCAATAATCCTTAAATTGAGAGGGATTTGTGGCCATTTCAGAGGCCTATATCTCAAAATTTTCTCGGGGAAGCATGCCCCCGGACCCCCCTAGCAGTACGAAGCCCAAGAAATACGAAAAATGTTCTGCGGTCGGCGGTCCCTGAATCAAGCCGTTCCTATATATTTATTTCTATTAACCATTTTAACCGTCATTTTTATTAACCAAAAGTGCCCTTAGAAGCTGGTGCCCCTCCAACCTCTGGATGCTTCCTAGGCCCTTGTCTGTTATTGTTGACTGCACACGTATAGAAATATTATATCACATCAGCCACCTTGACATGTTCACGACACTCACGACTAAATGGAAGCCAGGCATAAATGAGACCGACCCTTGCATAAAATTCAGACCAAAGAAAAACCAAAGCTGCATGGTCTTTATCTGAACCTTGACAATGCAAATATGCCATTTTACAATGCTATCACTAGTTTATTTTAAAATTCCTTGATAGTGTATGAAATCAGGGTGTGGCAGTAAGTATATGTACCTAATATGATAGAGTTTTGTGATTGGCTTTCTGTGACAATGTAGTGAACAGTGTTTATGATTCGCTCTTTTGAAAATGAATTTCTATACTTCATTGTGATTAATTCGGTTATTATCAACTATAATCAAGGCTTGTTCGTATGTTTGGGTACCCCCATGCACACACCCCACATTTTTACCGTTGGGTCTAAGACCTACTTTCGCAACTTTGGATCATCCTGTCTACATGAAATGTTTATATCATCCTGTGTTATAAACGCATAATGCATGCATTTATAACAAAAATGCATATAAATGCATTTAAGATTATTTGTGATTTTTAGCACCTCACTCGATGCAAGTCAGCTCCGGCAGGAATCGAACCTACGCTTTTGCGATGTGCAATGCATCAAGAGCATTGCACCGGCATCGCAAAAGCGTGGGTTTGATTCCTGCCGGAGGACCTATAGTTGACTCATTTTTCCTTCAACTCTTTCTGGCTTGAATTTGAAGTGTGTACAATTCCACTCGAAATTAAGACACTTTAAAAACCCTAGCATTTAAGATGACATGAATTATTATTAATCCGGATTATTTCACTTTATATAGACGAGACAGGGGTCGCCAGAACGATCGGTAAGTTATATAATCATTTTTCTGTTTTAGTTCTTACTGGTGAAAATTTACCTGACCTGACTAATAGGCTGATTTATTGAGCCGCTCCATGTTAGTTCACTTCATCATTACGTGCCTTTAGAGTTTATTTCTACATATATGGAATACCATTGTACTTTTAACAAGGAGTTAATTTTCTATAATCAATATATGATTTAAATTTTTTTTATACATCCTGTACTTTTAACAAGGAGTTAATTTTCTATAATCAATATATGATTTAAATTTTTTTTATACATCCTTTATGAGTATATAAGCATCTATAGTGAAGCAATATGGAAAAATTCTGTCGTATTATTGGACTAAATTGTTTTGTTTACTATATGTATTTCCTTATTCTGCGGCAGTTATTCATTCTGGTTTGCTTTTAATTTTCAGTAGGAAACCTTTCTTTGATTCGAACGTGAATTATAAACGCACCGTTTCTTTCTATCGTTTCCTTTGCTTCTTTCATTAAACAATATCTTATACAATATATTGTATTTTCAGGGTCAAAAGCAAACGACCCAGACGCCCTTCTAAAACAAGGTATGCGATAAATCAATGTAATAGACTTTTCTTATAATGACGTCAAACGCGGAAAATCTGATTTTACACGAAATTTGATAGGCTCCACAAAACTATCGAGCCAATCAAACCTCGTGTAACATCAGACTTTCCGCGTTTTTACGTCATTATGAAAAAGGTCTATTGAACAGGGCCGTAGCTATAAGCTAGGGGATGTTCATACATACATTCGTCTCACGTCCCACTGAAGGCGATATTTGTAAACAAAAACGTACAAGCTTCTCTCCGCATGCATTGTGCAAAACTTTGTTGGCAACCTCCCTTTGGGTAATGCAATCTGAAAATTGGAGCTTATTCCGCGGCAATCTACTTGCAAAATCTTAAAATATACTGTTTGTTTCACTTGACTCAAATTTATTGAAAACATTGATTAGGTTTGAAATGGGAGTTATTACATGACCACTCTGTAAACAAACACCGAACGCTTCTAACTATTGATACATTCGATAGTTGGGGGGGGGGGGGGGAGGCAATATTCATATATATATTCATGTTAACATGCAGACTGTAAGACAATTGATTTGAAAAGAAATTAATCCTACGTATCATAAATATACGAATATGTCCCCCCCCCGCCAATTATCGTGCTGGCTACGCCACTGCAGTTTTATACCAGAGTTCTCCACATATGCAATTTCAGAAATCCTGACTTCTAGGATTTAAATATGTGTAGAATTCCACTTGCTGATGCCTTATATTCTTATTTTATACGTATACGCGCCATTCGGCGTCAAATTTGGTCAAGCCTTGAACTCGATGATTTCTTCATTTTTCTCAAGTTATATATAAAAATGTTCTGAAGGTGGAATCACATCGTCAAATAGTTGGACTATTTTTTTCATTGTTTAGTTCTGTCACATGCTGTCGTTTACTTTCGGTTCGAGGACGACCGCAATGACGTCATACAAGATGATTCAAGCAACACAAATATCGGCAAACTGATAGCCCCAGCAACGACACCAAGCTTTAGTGAAACCTGTGGTAAAGGCTTGCAACTGAGTGGCGGAGCTCTGTTAATTTCTGGTGATACGTTCAAAGAGAAACCGAATATAGCAATAACAATATCGTGCTGGGTTAATATCGCAGAGAAGAAAGGAAATGCCACATTGTTCAGCACTGTTGGTGGAGCAAGTTCAAAATTTAAATCCGAACAATATAGTGTCAAGATTGAAAATGGAAAATTTGCGTGCTTGCATCGTAACGAGGAGGGAAAGTTGGTTTTTCAGATTGTTAGTCACCAAAAACTGAAACCACGTATTTGGAACCACGTCGCTTGTACGTATGACTCCCAGTTAAGACGAAGTGCCCTGTTTGTAAACGGAAAGCAAGATGCCACTAAAAAAGGTATTTCAAATTATAGCAAAATGTAAAATGGAGGCATATTGCAAGAAATTTGTGACACTGAAAGTGCCTGTCGCTTGTGCACTTACTTGTATTTCATTCATGCATATATACATATGGCCTTCGAAATATAGATTGCTCAAAGTTTTGGCCGTGTTCTTTCAATGAACTTACAAAATCGCTTACATTCATGAAGAGCATTTCGATTGGAATAGTTGATGAATTGACGTATGATAATACCAGAAAATTTTGTCCAAGATACTGTCTTTTTATCCCTGATATAAAATAAGTGTACATGCGACACTCATCATTGTGAAATTTCTGGTAAAGAATAGTGTTGAAAGCCTGCATGCATAAAGATATACCTTTTTCATAGGTGCAGGCATGTTGTCGCAAGACTGGGAAGGACGTGCAAGTATCGGAAATAGCGAGGATAAACCTGGTTCCCAATGCAAAATAGACGAGTTCTATATGGCAGATACGGCGTTGAACGAGAAGGAAGTAGCTCGTTTGATGGACCAGTGTATATTTGAAAAAGGTAGGCATTTTTATATAAATGATACTTATATTTGCATAATCCTCTCTTTCATTATTTTGAAATGTATTTTTAAAATGCACGAAAATACACTTCTTGAGAATTGTGAAAACGTTTGTACTCGTATATAGACTATACTTAAGTTTTAAACTTAATCCTACTCCAAAAATTTTTAGAATGTTATTTTTCCCTTGGTATGGAAAACATGAAAATAGACAACGCTCAAGTGACTTCAAGTTCTGTGTTTGGCCTCCACAAACCATACTACGGTCGTCTAAATCTGCTTTCCTTTCATGGGGATCCATCCCGTAGTGCGTGGTGTGCAAGTTCCGGGGACAAAAACCCCTATCTTCAAATTGCATTTGGCCAAGATACAACATTGTCTGGTGTAGCAATTCAGGGATTGTCGTTGTTCGATAATTTTGTGACGAGTTTCAGATTATGCTATAGCAATGATGGAAATAGTTTTGACTGTATACAAGAATCGGGGAATGGAAATGAGAAGGTATGTTCTTCTCCGAATTTTCGAAAGATTGATTATAATTTTTTAAACTGCAATGACCGAAGAACAGGCTAATCCTCGCACAAAATTCAATTAGAAGTTAGGCTTAATTAAAGGCTTAAATTCTTCTCTCAACCTTCCATAAATACAAAATACACATTTACATGCATTAACTTCAGGGAATTTTGATTTTAGCTACCCCCATGCGTTACTAGACCAATGCAAGAGTACGAAAAAATATAGAAAATTATTATATGTCTATGTTTATACGTATAAGGGGTTTATTTGACACCTTTCTCGATTTTCATGTTTCAATGCTTATAATTTATTTGAGAAAAGATTACAATGATCCTCTCGTACAGCGACCATATTTGCGTCAAGGGACATGTCGCAGCTTTCGGAAGCTTTCGTCCGATTTGATAATGCTTATCTATGCTATCTAAAGAACGAAGCTATGCTATTGCATGGAAATTGAAACAGTATTGTAAAGTTCAGCCAATGAAAATCATTCTTGCGAGGAGCTGCGACACTATCCGAAACTACAAAGGCTGTCTCTAACGGGAATCTTTTAATATTAATAGCCCAGGTTATACCATAGGCGGCCCAAAATTGGCGGCGAAAACTTTTTCGGCAATTTGTCAATGTAATGTATATTATACATTACATTGACAAATTGCCGAAAAAGTTTTCGCCGCCAATTTTGGGCCGCCTATGGTTATACGTCGCATTTTGGTCGCGTCGAATGAAATTCAAACAGTGGAAAATGAGATGATAAACCTCATTATCAAGTAATTATCTATTGTTTGAACTCGTTGTCATCTAATTGTTTATTGTTTGAATTGCATTCGAAGCGACCATGCCACGTATAATCCAGCCGCTCAGTGACCTGAATACGTGCTTTTGGTGGCAGGTGACTGGTCCTAAATGATGTTTTCTTGAGCTGCCTTCACGTCGTGAAGGAATTAAAACGAATCCACGCGCGAATCCAAGCTGATTACCTAATTCTATAGTTATATAAAGGATGATGAATTTCTGGTTTGTGTCTGATGAAGAAACATGTTTTTTTATTTTTTATCATTTCTTGATAGACCTTTCTAGGAAACGATGATAAAGATTCGGTTCGTATCCAGTGGTTGGATCAACCAGTAGATACCCGATATCTGAGATTTTACCCCCAGTCTTGGTACGGCAACCATATATGTATGAGAGCTGAGGTGTATGGCTGCAGAAGAGGTAACGATGTCTAACTGTGTATTTTTGCATGTTTTTGAATTTCCTGGTCGCTCAAGACTGCCAATTTTGCCTATGCCAAAGGGCATCGCTAATAGATTGGGTATACATTGTATGCACTTCCTTCGTCTTAATTAAATAACATAAGTTAAATGTTACAGCATATTTTTTATTGGAACATACCATAAGTTAAGCCTTCGGAAGAACGTTGAGATAAAAGAGCAAACTCTGGCCTATGGCAGTGAGCTTCTTCGGTAATTAAAAACCAAGGAGAAAAGATTTTTTCTTTCAATTAGAGAAATTTCATTTTTCCGGTTACATGATTGACAAGGCACCCTAACAAATAGACGAAATAGAAATTACATCTAGCACATTTTTCATTTTCATTTATGTCGAACAAAACCAACTTTTATTGACCAATATTGCAGGGACCGCGGAGCGTTTTTCGTATTGCTGGCGGGGCTCGGAATCGCGCGCCTGCTAGGAGAGTCAAGGAAAATTTTGAAATATACATGGGACTCTGAGATGGCCGCAAATACCTCTCAATTTAAGAATTATTGGGAATTAGTATACACCCGACTATTGTTTATTAGAAATCCTACATTCTGATTGGCTACTCAACCATTGTCTATTCGTGATGGTGAACGTTTGGGAAAAATTCGCTCGCGCGACCGTATAAAATTGAATTAATTAAATTATTTTTCGATGTAATTGCGGTGTATCGATTATTTTCTCGAAATTAATATATCTAAGTACCGGGTGTATACTAAAACAATTAGACAACTCGCCTTCGTTGTCTATGAGTGAATAGTCTACTCAGGCTTCACCTTCGTTGACTATTCGCTCATAGACAACTCGGACTCGTTGTCTAATTGTTAAATAGTAGATACTTATGAAAATTAATATAAACAGGATCGAATAGACAGACAGATACGAGAATACGCTATACCCATGCAATACATGTCAGTTGCTATGCATGAAAATTGGATGAAAAGATAGCTAGGAAAGACTGTTGTTTTGCAGGATTATTGAGCAATACCATTGACACAGAAGCGAGTCAACGAAGTGACACAAAGAATGACGTAAGGCAACTAGTAAGCTACGGAACTTGCAGCGTTGGCTGTGGCAAGGGTACCAAGCGTAGAAAACGGTTATGTACCAGAGGGATTTTGTGCCCTGCAAACGCTGACCATCTGATAGACAGGGTACCATGTACAAAACCAGCGTGCCCAGGTAAGTGATTTTTTACGCATTCTGTACAGTCCACTGAGGAAATGTAGATGAATGGATACAATGTGATAAACTCGCAACCTAAAACCCTCTTGCGTGTCTAACACCTGTTTATTCTAAAACATTACTCAAGCTCAAACTATTTGAGTTGATCCCCTCTTATGATCTAACTTTCCATGGCCGTATTTCCTAGGAATAAGAGCTTGATGCTTTACCTTAGTTATATACTTTAGTTTCTCGGAGTTAAGAGCAGATTCACACACGATATTCTCGTTTGGGATCATAAAAATGGACGGATATTGTTGACCATAAATTCTCTTGTGCAAGCCATTTTACAAAAACTGTACACAGACTCTATAACCGAAAAACGCCACATCTTTCTAACCGTTTTTCTGGTTATATATTTCGTGAGCGTAACATGATGACCGTTTTTCTTCAATTTGTTAGAAAATTGTACCCGCCTATATATATAAACGCTCTGGTTGATATATATTTTACTTCAGCTAATAATTTTACTTTAGTCTGTTTTCAACAGCTGGGTGTGGCAAATGGTTTAATCCCTGACAACGCAATAACGGGTTCGAGCAGTTTAGACGACACTTTGAGACCGTACTATGGTCGCGTGTTAAAGGCTGGCAGTTCAAAAACAGCATCTCGTGGTTGTTGGTGTGCAAGAAAGTCTGATACAGCGCAATTTCTCCAAGTTGATTTACGACGTAGCATGACTGTAACAGGTATATATATTTATTATAGAAAATTTATAATGCTATATACTGTACATGAGTTTTCGACCACTCTTTAAAATCGTATTTAAACCCACGTCAACACGTCAACGAAACCCACATTCCATGCCAAGGAGTGTTTTAACATTTTGGCCCCCTGCAAACCCTCTATTCTGTATACGAGACTTCTTAAATGTAGGCATAATCCTATATTCTTTGATTCATATTACTTCTATATTTTTCTTAGGTATCGGTATACAAGGTCAGGTACTAGGCAACAACTGGGTGACTAGTTTTAGAATTACTTATGGAATTGATGGCATAACATGGATACCTTATACAAGAAAGGATTTCCCACAAGAGAAGGTGACCTAAACTTTTTACCTTTTATAGCACTAGAAGTAGTAGTTGTTAGTATAGTTTATTGAATAAAATTAAATAATTTAAGACCTACGCTTAGCTAATCATGTAGCTCCATGCATTTAATAATCCTCGTCCGCTATCTTCTCTATACTGATAAACAAACGTTAATTATCGATCGCCGACCATGGATGTCATGTTCATATCCTTTTGATGTGCGACATCCAAATTTCCCAGTTCTTATCGACTCGTGCGTGTTTTATGCTGGACCTTATCATTTTTTGCATTTAGTCGATTCAGATTTCACACCACTTTTTAAATCAGTCCTTTCATATTCTTATGTACTGATATTACTTTCTTCTTTTATGGATATTTCATTCTTAACAATACGTGGTATCAACATTTAACTCGAAGTGGATAGTTTCTGTTCTGAGAAGTGCTTTATCCATTTATTATTTATTATATAGAGCTTTCTAACAATCTTTTCTTCCAAAAGGAAATCTTCCTTGGTGCGGATGACAAAGCGACCGAAGTAGTGCGACCGTTGGATCGACCAATCGTGGCCAGATTTGTGCGAATTCACCCACTTTCTTGGAATGCCCTTCAAATATGTTTGAGAATTGAACTGTATGGTTGTACTATAAAGGGTAAGAAGTTGAGTCCTAGGCAGTGAACTCTATATATATGGAAGGCTCGCTCTACACACGTAAAAACGCACAAGTTGTAACAAGTCTGCAGCAGAGTTGTTACAAGCCTATTCACAAGCTTGCAACAAGATTTGTTCGCACTGATTGCTCCAATTTGTTGTAACAAGTTTGGAACAAGCTGTTAACAACTTGTAGCAAGTCCGATGGCACTATCAGACTTGTTACAAGATTGTTCTGACAAGTCTTATCAGATATGATACAACAACATTGCTACGAACTTGACAGAAAAGGATTGTAGCAATATTGTCACATCATGTTTGTACCAGACTTTTTGGAACAGCCTTGTAGCAAGTCTTTTGATTCAACAAGTTTGTTACAACTTGTTAACAAGTTGTCCCATCTTGTCAACAGCATGAGACAAGCAGTGCGAACAAATCTTGTTACAAGCTTGTGAACAACTTGCTACAAGATATGATATTTTTACGCGTGTAGTACATTGCGTAATCTAAAAGTGAAGCCAAACATGGCAGATCATGAAGGCTGCTTGGGTACCGAACCAGACCTCCGCGCGCGAACGGTTAAAATTCAATATGGCGGCAAAGTGTAGGAGTTGAACTCATTAGTTTTGTAAACACAAAACAAATATACGGCATAAGTTACTTCTCTAGAAAGAATAACATTGCTAGGTAAGGTTGTAAAAAATTGTATGTATTCATTTTTAAAAACGTCGTATTTTAAAAACTTTGTAACGTCCGAAATGTGAGTTTTTTATTTTTCGTCAAGTTTTATAATTCGTGTTTTGAATTTCCACGCGCGGTTCGCGCATTTTACTCTTCGTGGAGGACTGGTTCGGTACCCAAGCAGCCTTCATGATCCGCCATGTTTGGCTTCACACTTTGAACTGGAGCGAGCCTTCCATATATAAAGAGTTCACTGGTCCTAGGTCAAACGTTGCTCTCCTCTTGCGCCGGACGTATTGAAATTTATTAACCCATAATGCGGCACCTCACCTGGTTGTCTGGGTATTATTCAACGCACAAGGAAAGCAACGTACGCCTGGCGTAATACGTTTTTATTGACGAATCACTACAGCAGGGCCGTGACAAGGCCACTAAATTTAAGTCTGTATATTGATATGCCCATGTTTACATATTGTGGGGACAATCACGTTAAAAACACAGGAAATACCGTTGCATGTGTCTCAGTAACATGTACTAACTGTTTTGTGCTTTGGAAAATTCGGACACTAGCTTTTGAGTGCTATATTAAAACACATTACAATCAGCCCTAGGCGTTTTAGCCATGATTCAGACTTATGTCACTTTCCAACCTCGTACCCAGGCGCTTTAATAGTAAAATATATAATGTTGCATTCAGGTAGTATATAAAGGTCAGGTGAAAAAGCAAGCGCGCAAGGGTGCTTGGGGTGGTTTTGTTTAGCGAGGACCCCCAAGCACCCCCGCGCGCTTGCGTTTTTTTCAGCTGACCTCTATACAATAAGTGAATGCAACATTATTTTTCTACTATTAAAGCGCCTGGGTACGAGGCTGGTCCTTTCTATAAATCTGACCAAAATCAGATTCGCACAGTCATCTCAAGTAAGTTTGGAGAACCGAACTAAAAGTAAATGCTAATTGGCGAATTATGTATTAAACATGCTAAATAATTTATTATTACAAAAATAATTAATATAACGGTCATCTTATTATGTTTCAAACAACTGACTACTCTATTACCCCAAAAATATCGATCTCGATATAAGTGTTTAACACGTCGGTGAAATTATTTCGAACAAGGCGAGTTAAAATAAGCACTATAAGAGACATTGTTTATTGTCCTGGGATATAACCGTCGCCACTTTTAATTACTACAGAGCAATTTTGACCACGAAGACGTCACCAAATTTAGTTGTACGAGGAATCATTCTATGAATTCGTTGCAGCTTATCTTTTTCTATAGAAGCTGTGATGCTGAAACGTCCGCATAAAATGAAACCATCAGCGCCAAACCCCTTACAAAAATTACTTCAACCAGAGAGGACGAGGAACTCGAGCAATGGCACACAGTTCATCATCGAGTTGAACAATACCATGGCAATCCGCTATGTTGGTGACAGACCAACTGGCAAAATATCTTTGTCTTTGGCGAATATGACGTTAATTTCTAATATCAATACCACAATTACAGGGGTCCGAGAGCTATGCCGAAAGACAGGTATACCGGACGCTCTCTGCAAGCCGAAGTCGATCTCCCAAATGGAATCGCAGACGTTTGGCAATGTTTCAGAATTTCCAAGAATCGTTAACGGTTCAATTGGTAAGCAAATTTTAAACTTGGCAAAATTCAATGACAGAACTGCTCAAAAAAACCTGGCCAATCTCAAAAACCCGTTGTCTGATGTATCCGCCGTCAAAATCTCAAACAATCAAGGTATGTAATAGTAACTTTTCAGTACTGTAAAGCTTAACAAAGAAATCTGCTATTTTAGTCTTCATGCCCAACTTTGGGACGCTGAATTTCCCTGGTCGAAATGTATATTTCACCATTTCAAGAAACTGCAGAGAGTCACTTTAAGGGAGTCTGTTAGTAAAAAAAATTTCCCGGTCATTTTGTTTCCGTCTTACAACAGTTAATAGAATATTCTTAGTTTGAAGACCACATAAAACTACAATACAACTCATTAACTATGTTGAGGTAGATTTATGCAAAAAATTATTCCTTTCTCATCACGTTTCTATTGTATTTTGCACAAATAAACCAATAGCAATCTTATAATTAACATATTTTTCAAGTCAAGGTTGAGGAGCTTAGCAAGACGAATGCCATTGCCCCATTGGTACGTTTGGCTAAAATATAATAGACACATGACGAGAAAGGATCCATCTTTTGCATAAATCTGGACAATAACATAGTTATTGAGTTGTATTGTACTTTTGTTTAGACTCCAAACCATGTATATTCTATTAACTGTGGTATTACTAGACAAGTTACTCTGAGCCAAAAAAAAGAATGAAAAGATTTTTTATTCCCTCAGAAAAACGTTAATAAAGAGAAAAATTCAGTGGCGCACGGGAGACGACAATTGGAGGGGGGAGGGGGGGGCACATATTCATATATTCATGTTGAGCAAGATTAATTTATTTTCAAATCCATTGTCTTTACAGGTCTGTTAACATAAATATATGAATATATGCCCCTCAATTATCGTCCCCCGTACGCCATTGGAAAAATTAAACAATATAGAATAAGCCAAACGAGCACTTTCGTTTGATCAGGGTAAATAAAACCTTAGTTAATAAAATTTTCTTTTAGTCATCGCGTTCTCTATATTTTTTTCTATAAAGATATCCAGAATGGATTAGGAAGGCGAATGAGATTGATGCCTTCATTTTTTAAAACATAATAAATCGTAATTTTGCATATTTGCCATTCCTCCCCCCAAAAAATAATTGGAATTACAATCATTATGAAGTTTTATCCTATTTCAAATAATTATTATAGTTTCGATAGATAAATTAATATTGGTTGTTTATGCGAATCTCGCCTTTAGGAAATGCCGTACATGCACAAATGAACGTCAACCCGCATTCATCTTCCATTTCCAAAAACTCTGAAGCTGAAAATGATATCATCTTCGGTTCCCAACTACCTTCAGCTGCGAGTAAACCGCCGACAATGTCCTCACCAGCAACACATTTGTCAACTTCCCCACCCGCTACGCATTCACCGATGAACAATAAGCCACAAACTAATTCTGTGCTGCATATTTCGGGCGATATACATTCTAATTCGCCACAAGATTTCCCACTGCATGTTACAACTATAAAGAATGTATCACCACCTTTTAAGTCACCGTCTACAGCTTCTTCGACGTCTTTCCAACCTACAACTGACGCGAAATCCACGTCAGCAGCTCTTAAAAATGTCTCTTCCTCGCCCCAAACTGAATCTTCACTCCAATTCAACCCGCCAACTTCGTCTCCTTATTTATTGGAAGCTTCGTCCTCGCAATTACATACCGCAACAACATCACCATCATTACAGTCACATCCAACTCAAAACCCATCACCACCTCCCTTTGGTCCAGTATTTCTTCAAGATGTCTCGTCTACACCACGACCACCACCGCCACCTTCGCCACCACCAACACCACCACCGCCACCGCCACCACCACCGCCACCTCCACCACCACCTCCACCCCCACCATCAACACCACCACCGCCACCACCACCTCCACCACTACCACTAACACAACCACCACCACCACCACCGCCGCCGCCACCACCACCACCACCACCACCACCACCGCCACCACCACCTCCACCACCTTTCTCTGAACCTCCCTCGCCTCCAATACAGCAAACTACCCCACCACCATCCCTACCACCGTCCCCACCACCATGGTATGACCATCACCCGGACTATGTTTCATCAACACCTTCCCCGCCCATCAACAGTCCAACTTACCCAGGAACGACAAGCTCACTAGGTATGCACATCCAAAAATACTTTACATCACGTTACGCTACGCTGCGGCGTTGAAGAAATAGAACAATTACTAACTATTTTTTGAAAAAGATCCTGCAATACTAAGTTTAGGTGTGGTAATAAGTGTGTATGGTTACCAGAAGCACTTGGCCTTCATACTTTACTTGATTACTTGAACATTATTTTTTTTAATAGACACATCCTCAACTATAGCTGACCAAAACGTTCAACTCTTGTATTCCACGACTCCAAAGCCGCACGATCCTGCCTATGACGACTTGTTAAGGCAAGTCTCTCAAGATCCAATGCCAAACCTAGACGCAAGTGCAGTTCAATCACAGGACGCGGCACAAGCAACAGTTAACCAGCCAGGGATTTCGTCTTCTCAGGCGACATATCCAGACGTCGGTAACACGCTCACATACGGAAGTTCAGCACCTAATATGTACAACTCCATGAGCTATGACTGGTCAGACTTTGGCGCGTGCAGCGCAACATGTGGCCAAGGGTATAAAAGACGAATCCGAAAGTGTGACGTACCACAGCGTTGTTCTGATAGAATTGCAGAAGATGTCCAACTATGCTACAGCGCGCCTTGTGAAGGTAAAATGTTAGGTGTTCTATAATAATGATAGCGCCAGGATTGCATGATTAAATATTTATCTCTTGCGAAGCTTCATTTCCTGTAATCTCTAGTGATGCTGAATATTCTTGATTTTCCATTCTAGATTTTTCCAACCCCTGGTCGGCGTACAGCCAGTGCAGTAGGTCTTGTGGTGGCGGTCAACGAACACGTACAAGAAGTTGCGTTGGCCAAGTTGCGTGTCCAGCATCAGGAAGTGAAACTCAAAATGTACCATGTCTCATTTCTGACTGTCCAGGTTGGTTACATGCTTGCGAAATAATCCATTTCCCAATCGAGCAGGGCATTTGGTCTAGTCGCGATCCGCAAAGCATCTTTGGACTGTTTGGAGGGACAAATGATGTCAGACTTATATTTCCTGTCCCTCCAAACAGACCATAGATGCTTTGTGATTCGGGACTATACCCGGTACCCTGCTCGATTGGGAAATGGCAAATTGAATTGCACTGATATGTGAAAGGAAATTCTAGGAGCTTTTTGAAAGATAAAAACAGATTTAAAAGTTGAATTTTTACGCCAAATAAAGTTACGCAAAGTAGTTTTGTTACCTCGAAATATCTAAAAACTAAATCTTATCGCTTCTGTGCCTGCGGCTTCAACTTCTTTTAATCTCATTTTTCATCGGATAAATTTGACAAAACTATAGTCGTCAGTAGTTTGAAAACATTGCTTAGGTAGTTATCTTGCGATAATCTGAGGTTGCATGCTTAACCGGAAAGTGGCCTCAATTTGCGATAACATATTGCAAGTAAACTAAACATATCTATTATTGAAGCCTTCTCATCCAAGTATGCGCCCCCTTCCTACCCTTCCCGCACCACACTTTAAAAACAGTACAAATTAAAAGTTGCCTCGGATTCATTTACTGGACCAATTTTTTATTGGTTAAAATAACTGAAGACTTGGGCAATATTCCTTCCGCTATTATAATGCGAAGGTATACGTTAATGATATATTTCATAAGTAATGTTTCTTTTAGTGTTGCACTACGATTTTGAAAATACCACTCAAGAGATAATCCGGGACAAATCAGGCCACGGTAATAACGCTTATTTAGAGAACGGCGCTGAAATTCAGCCAGCAAGTGACGCTTGTGGTTTTAAAGCAGTCCTTCGGCCTCGGGGAGATATATTGATGGAGGATTTTAAGCTGGAAAGTAAACCGACGAATGCTATAACTATTGCTGCGCGAGTACTTCTTCAAGACATCAGAGGTTGGCATTCAATATTCAGTACTGTTAAGACTACGGACGGCGGAGAAATCAAAGGTTAGTGTCAATAGCTAATAATATAAGCACGTTTTGGAATGATACATGCTGTTTTCAAATATTTCATTCAGAGTAGAATTTATATTCCGTGTATTTAATGAAAATCATGCGGAAATCTGTAATGAAGGTTTGATGATAGTATTTCCCCAAAACAATCGGTTTTAAGAAGGAATTAATCTGAAATACGTAACGATTCGGTAACGTCTGCATATCCTTTGGGCTGGAGGATAAGAAAATCAAAGATACTCTGAAGTGTCACATTGACATTCGTGATATTTCGTACTGATGCTATAAACTGGTAACCGTTGCCTATCTGTCTGTGGAATTTTGACAAAACTTCGTAGTCCTAACTTAATTTTTTACTCACCTAACTTAACTAATTATTACCTACTTATTAGTAAAATTGTTGTCATATTTTCACGAATTTTTGAAATTGTAAAATGTTTGTTACCTTCCCGCCAATTTTTTGTGTTATATATCAGAATCTTAGCATGCGGTGGAATTTATTTTAGCGCGATAACTTTTATAGTTTTCCAGTTATATTGAAACAGAGGTAATGTTTTTTGGAGGACACCTGGCAGTTTTTCACTTTCTCTCAGTTTTACTTCCCACAAAAGTGGATGATTGGACCGTTTGAAAAATGTTTGAGTGTAAAGTTACCTTACAATACCGCATTTTTGTGCTTACAGGTGGGTTTCACTTCGAGATTGACGACGGGAACGTACGATGGTTTCATCGCAATCACGATGACCACACCGTGTTTGATGTCAGAACTTCAGATCTCGTTTTCAAACCTAATACTTGGCACCATGTGATGGGCACCTATAATTCCAAATTAGGCCAGGCTCAGGTAAGGCTTTAAAAGATTAGGCCTGCTTTGTTAAATCTAAATTTTCACAACAGGGGTATATAAAGTTCAAAAATAGCATTTAAATGAATATTAATAATTTTCATATTGATGTTGCACTGACTGCCCAGGAAAACAGAATCCGAGTTCTTTGTTGGGTCTCTAAATGGAACCTTACGAAAATAGTTTCTGTTTGACTGTATAAACCAAATCGCCTTACATGCAGTTCACAATCCTTTTTACTTCCTTAGGCGCAAACCTATTTCCCAAAACCCCCGCTTTTTGTAGAGTTATCAACGTTGTTTTATCAATTGTAATAACCCTAACATCATCAATAATTTGTGATCGTGCTTGTTAATCCGTAATTGCACTCGCTGTCATATATTACCTATTACTTATTATTATTATTATCATTAATATTTTTATTACAATTAGCATTATAATTTTTAGGTTTACGTCGATGGTATTGTAAAAGCACATTCACCCGGCTTTGGCCTCTTGGATACTGATTGGGGTTATAAAGCATGCATTGGCAGTTTTGACTTTGATGGGAGGTATTTAAATGGAGAAGTGGATGATTTTCAGGTGTTTAACTACGCTGTCATAGACAAGTTTCAAATTGAGAATCTAATTAAATCAAAATGTGAGAAAAAGCCAGAAGAAACGGTAGAATATAATTCAGGCAGCCAGTGTTATCTGATCAGGTTCCACAAAAATGACTTATATACGGTTTATAGAATTATTAACCTGATTAATCGATATTTTTTATACAACGTATAGTATTTTGAGAAAATTAGGCGTAAAATTTCTAAATAATAAATCATCAGCGTGCGCAACAATTGATTTCAGAGATGAATCTAGTCCGTATATCTGATGGGTTATTAAATCCATAATTCCCGTGGTTATTTCGCGGTTATTATTCCCGAGCGGGTGCGGAGGTACTAATTCCGCTCGGATATTTACACCCACGATTTGCGAAGGTGAAATCAAAGTCGTCCGCCATTATATGCAATGGACCTCACGCCATGGACGGTCCTCTACGTTATGCGCATGCGCTAATGTGAACTACTAAGCTCTTGATTGGTCGAGACAAAAACTTTGTATTTTCAAACGTGCATAACTAATTGCATAGCAGTAATTTCGCAAAATTTTGATGAAAATTATAAATATATATATATATCGACAACAGGTCATACAAAATATAAGAACAGTGCCAATTTGTGTTATATCCTACTGGTTCAACTCTATTCCACCATAGATTAAGGACAGTCCACTGGTTTTTCTTCCCAGCTTATCTATGTTGACCCTCTTTTTACAAACTTTGGTCCACAAAAACTAATGCCATGAGAATTAGCGAGAAATCTATGGGAGGCATTACTATCATAAAGCAAGTTCAGATCAACATATCCAATCTCCAACTCACAAGATATCATTTATTGTAAATTATCGCGATATAAGAAAAATTATCCACTGGACTCAGACTTTTGATCACCACTGTAAATTCATAAATTATAGAGAACAATACAATAAAACAACGATACGAACAACAATAGAATACGCCAATCGACCCCTTCTGTTTGCTTAGTGTAAAAATCCCTAATTAAAATAAGTTTTCGTTTAATTCTCACGTTCTTTATCTTTAAGATTGCATCCATAAAACAGGATAAATAGTGATTTTTAGTGTGGTAGACCACCTTTAATCAACGTAAATTAAAGAACATCACTTCTCCAGATTTAGGATTCACTAGCTTTATTTCGTATTTGCACTAAATTACAACTGGCTAGTTATGTACATCAAGCTATTATTAGTGAGAAATGTTATACGCCCGTGAATATTGTCCATAGACGGAGTTTCCATATTTCCTTCCTGGGTTTTTCAGTCCTTACAATCTTTTATTTCTTGGAAAAATATACATTCAAATTTACATATTATATATTAATAAAATTTTCAAACGAATTATCAAGTCTTTGTGAACAACCGAGCGACACATTTTCCGTATAGAGTTTGTTAAGGCTATCCGCAAGTTAGCGCCCCATCATTGGTGGAGGAGGACAGGGAGAATTACATCCTTGAGGAGGAGGTCCAAGTTGACACGATGGTTGCTGCATGCCTCCGCATGGTGATGGAGGCAACTGAGGACAACATGGGTTACCACCTCCCATCGGCTGCTGCATACCCATTCCCATCGGTTGTTGCATTCCCATACCCATTGGTTGTTGCATACCCATACCCATAGGCATGCCCATACCCATACCACCACCCATTCCCATGGGCATGGGGAATCCCATGCCTGGAGGTGGTGGGCGAATAAGGAAGGTCTCACAGTAACCACCAGGGCAATCTTCACGGTTGATCATCTCCACTCCGTTGCCTAGATCTTTGGGGTATTCAGGTTTTGCTCCAGCTGGAGCGGCAGCGGCTGCACCACTTGTGCCATTGCCTGATGGAGGTGGCGCGGATGCTGCTTTAGCTGGAGCCGGTGTTGCCGGCGCAGCCGGCGCAGCTAAACTTGCTAGATAAACGATAGCGCGTATTACAGTTTACTTCTGCTATATATAAGTCATCGATTCAATTTCATTTATGATAAACATATAGAAGACCGTGATCGTAGGGGTCAGTAGAAATGGAGTTTTGGAAAAAATGAATATCAGAGTTTATGAAATTTTACAAACCTGTTGCAAGACAAAACGTAAACAGAACCACTATTTGAGCGTTCATCTCCGGACTTGAAAAACTAAAAGACGAGATAAATTAATTTCAATGAGACATTGCATAGGATGATGTAACTTTCATTCCAAAAAACTTTTGCGTGTTTAATGAATTACCGTTCAGTAGCGTATAAATATTTTTGTAGTAATACTGAAATTAATGCTACCTTCCTTATATTTAGGAGTATATTTATACCATTACAATAACCAGGTACAATAATTCGAAGGAAAAGGGCCTTTCCCTAACAATTCTTTGGAACAACAATATACGGGGTGTCTTGAAAAAAAAACGAAATCGGCACTTTCACATGCCGTAATGCATTAAATGTTGAGTAATTTTTAAGCAACAAAGAGGAGTTATTCACAGTGGCGTACCCAGCCTGACAATTTAGTCATGCTATGCTAATATTTTGGTGTTCATTGGCTGTGAAAAAAAATGAATTTCTAAAGAATGACTTGAAATTTGCATAGCATGACCAAATTTTCAGACTGCCTACGCCACTGGTTATTCAGCTTTCTAACAATACCCTCGTGTGTTAAAAATTGCCGGTCGAAAACCACATTCTCCTACCGAATTGAGTGAGACAATCTGATTGGCGCATACACGCATTAAAGCTCATAATAAATTCTAATTTGCTTCGTTCTGTCTTCGATCGCGCAAGTTTGTTTTCGAATGACGAAGTTCTCATTTTAAAAATATTCCATCCTTTTTTGCTGTTATAAACTGAAGAAAGGTATCATTGCATGGGGAGCTAAATAATTGCTCTTTCATACCGCATACGAAATATACCATTAAATTCACTATAATCTTCGTGAAAGTCTGTTAATTCCATTTCGTTTTTTTGAGACACCCAGAATTTTTTACTACTCCAAACTCCTTATTATAACAAAGAATAATAGCCGTAACGACGACACCACTTTACAGTAGAACTTTTGTTATTCCATCGCTACGTAAACTGGCAAAATCGTTCATAAATCAAGAATAATTTCAAAATCAAAACCCCCCAATATCAAGACAATTCCATACAGGTGAACTACAATGAAAATAATGTTATAATATATAAAAGGTTACCTATTCAAGTTGTCTTGATGGTTCGAAGTCTTGCGAAGAAGTAGAACGATGAAGTAATATATTATTGATCATCTGACAACAGGCTGTACTTAAAAGAACAACCAGTCGAATTGCGGGTGTCATTCTATGCTTCAATGATCACAATTACAACATTATTTTTCATTAGGCCTCGTCTACATGAGGACATGTACAGTCTTTTGCATAGAATCTAGTTGCAAGTCGTTTCCATACACGACCAACAGTATTTCGTCGCACAACACTTCATCTTTGATCAAGAGCTACTTCTAAGGAATCTTCAGTCATCTTTATACATATATTTAATTGTCCTTGTCTTGTAGCTATATATTGTTTTTTGCAACGAGTGCAAATCGGCAAACATTCCAATATATAATTGCAAAATTGTCGCCGTAATGCCGATCACAGTCAAGATTTGTATATATACATGAGATGGAGGGCAACAGTTTGTTTAAGCAAAGAAAAAGTCATGGTTTAAAACATTGTCGAAGTCTGAGTGCCATTGCTGATGTATCGAAGTAAAAGAAAGTGCATGATAACTCAATACTTGGTGAAACTGCCAGTCCATGCATGTTATATGCCAGTCATGCCAGTCCATGTTAACATACTGTTATCAGCAGGTCATAAACTTTATAATTTGTCCTTTTTGAAAAAGAATTTTATATCAGGAAATTTATACTTGGGTATATAAGCACTAAAACGCACAGTATTACGCGAGAGGACGTTGACTTTCTCATGGAATGCCGATTTTTACAGTTTGCTGTACACTGTATGCTGATCTTTAGCGTTAATTCATTCACATGCAAGATGTTGCAGAACTATTATCACGAACTTTAGTTTACATAGCTAGGAAGAGGTTTTGCATTTAACTTTGATCAAATTTGATTTCGATCGCGCTTTTTTTCTAAAACTATTGGGTCATTTTTTGAAAGGTATACCATGTACTACGGGTTTAACTAACTTAACACAATAAGTGGTTAGCTGAGCCATTCGCAATCGATAATAATTTTATAATATTCCTAATTTGCATTTTAACTAGATTTTTTAACTGATGAAAAATAAAAACGTATTTTCAAATTCCAGCATAATGAGGATAATGAGTAGCACTGGTGTTGAAATGCTATTTGCAGGATCTACATATACTGATGCCAATAATTTTATTTGCACTTTTTTGTTGTACCTATACACCCTATATAGTTTGTTAACAACTTTTGGATAATTTGCACTCGCCACTCGCGTATCTCATGCGTTCTCGAAACACTGCATGATACGCAAATTATAGGCACTCTCAAACGGAGTAACAGCTACTCTTTTCAAACATCTTAGTATATCGATTGTGACTGATTTGATTATCGAGAACCTGTATATTGTAACGTCTAATAGGAATGTTCATCTTTTTATAGTACTTAGCTATTTTGGTTGCGCCAAAACGATTTTCGTCATCAGACATTTCTGTAGCGCATACAAGAGGATGTTTGCAAAACATCTCTGTTCAACTTCGTTTCTTTGCGTTTTCTCTTTTTAAGATAATTTCGGGAGTATATTCGGGAGTTCTTAACCCAGAATTGCATTGTATATTATGTATAATTGCAATTCTAGCTGCGATATATATAACATAGAAATTAACCTTTAAAATAAAAAAGCATCTTTGTCCCTTGGGACTAATATGGTTAAAGGCAAGGGGGGCAGCTGCTATCCCTGCTCCCTTGCAATCGTGCAAAAGATATAGTGTTGAGAACATATCAGTTTTAAATCAGAATATATTTGCATTGAAAGCGAATAAAAAGATATGACGGATATAGACGCTTCCAATTTCATGGGTAAGGATGGCGCAATGACAACGAATTTGTGCAATGATAAAATAAGATTGGTGCAGCTAAATAAAATCAATTCCAGCGTTGAAATGGCTCGTATAATTATGGTGACTGCACACTCATGCAACTCTTTTTTTAATCAGAGTAACTGCCCTAGTAATATGGGAAGATTAGATTTTGGTATTATATTCTTGAAAAAGAAAACATTTTATATATAGTGTACCATTTAGAACAACATTTAAAAAACAAGCAAAATAAGTATTATATGAAATACAAATTTATAAAACGAAAGCTTGAAGTCGATCCAATTTCGGAAGACGCGAAAGTAAATGGTTGGAAAAAGGTATTATTTTATCAAATATTTCGGAATATCTACGCTTTACCATTTCCAAAAATACACATAATCAAAGCCATCGTCATGAAAAATAGTTTTCTCGAATGTTTCACCTGAAAAGAAAGAGAAAATAAGTTTCTTTTGCTTTTTAAATGACGCAATGAGGACTGCGAAGTTTTCTTAAAATGCCGTAATCAGATGAGTGACGGCTACGAGCCTATGGTCCGTTAACACTTGCGATACACTTTACATGTGCGATTTTAGATGTCAACGAGTGAATTAGTTAGGGATGTTTCAAAATAGCTCTTATACATCAGAGCGTTCGTAACTAGTCACTTGTTCGCATCTACCAAAAGAAGAATATCGCACATAAAATCGCAGCAAAAATTGCGAGTGCATGTAAACGAGCTTTATGGCGTCAGTACGAAGTAATTACAAATATCACGTCAATTTGACGAATCCCGTAGCGGTAGCGAAATCAAAAGCTCTCTAATCAGTTACTGGGTGCGGTTCGCTAGTTCGGTGTTCTGATTGGCTAGAAAAAGTGCAATTGACTGGCTGCATGTGAATATGGTAATGCCTTGTGTAATAAGATATGCGTCACACAAATATTCTTACTTCAGTGCATGGTCCTATACTGTTTATTCCCTATACTAAATAACAAAATATATAACAAACATAACGAAAAGTACATTTTCATTCGATTGTCTCCAAAAAGGCGAAATACATAATACCTTCTTATTTTCGAATTCATCAAAACAGAATTACACCTAAATGCAATTGTTAGAAAATATATGTATATAATATATACGCTTGCGGAACGAGGTTCAAATTTGCTTCACTGAGTGACGGCACAAAGTATAAGCTCGTCGAGTTTATTTGCATTGGGCCGATTATAGAGTCTTGAAAAAATAGTGATATTTTTTTATAGAGTCGCTATCATCATCTATAACAAAGTGAATCACTTTGAACCCGCCATTACAAAGTTTACAGGGTTGATTTTATAAGAGGTGTAAGAACAGTGTACTCTGCAACATTGTTCAGCAAAAGGTCTATAGGATTATACCAAATATCGCTGCAAGTTTATTCTTGTTTACAGAGCGTTTTCATGCGTATACAGCCATGAGAGAAAATTGGAAAGCGTTTATGTACCACCTGCCAAATATGCTTTGGCGTAATCGATAAAATATTTTCGAATTGACCGTCTGTTTGTGCTTGAGAAACAGAAATGCCGTTTAAATTCAATACATTCTAGTTTAAGTTGCAAAATAGATAAAATTACATACTTTACTGTGGATGGAATCAAAATACGACTAACCGAGTTGTGGACAAGCGCAGGTTTTGGTGAGTCAAGCAATCTTATGGTTTATACAATTAATAAATTAGCCGCAGGTAAACACTTACTCTAGATTTATTCATTGATCAATGATACAGATATTAGGAAATAGTTATTTTAGCTTTACGTCGATGCATAATAAGGTCCGATGCATATTAAAAAAGTATGACGGTGAATAATGTTAAACATATAGTACTCAAAAACGTTTTATAAGAACTTGTGACCAGACGACCAATTCAAGGAGCCCATAAATACGCTCAAATATTTATCATCATTTTGAAAAAACATTGGCGATTTTTTGAAACATCAATTTTGTTTTTTTTTTCATTGTTCTTTTCGAGGGGTTCTTATTTCACCCCAGGTTAGAGTATGAAAAGCAAGAGGTTATTCGGGGGACTTACGATTTTGCACGGTAATTCTTTCAACAGGACGGGTAGTATATAATTATTCATGCCGGCCAGTTACAAAACGCGTAAAAAGCGTTAAAATTTAGTCATGCACATGCAGTTACAAAAACGCAAAAACTGCAATAGCACGCCGTATGATAATCCACAAGCCTGGATAAATTATGATGTTAAACTATTTCCTAGTGGCGATGTTATTGAAGGTGAACAATGATCAAAATTTGTAAAAATAAAAAGATTACATATTTTTAATATACTCTAAAACTAATAAGGATTTGTCACACGTTAAAGATGATTTTTCTAAACCTAACGATTCTCTACCGCATGCCCTATTAGAATACTTGCCTTAGCTACAAATTAGCAAGATGAAAACAAAAAGCAAAATGCGTGACAGACAGTTTACAAATTTAATTCAAGGACAAAAACTTTAAACGCTATTGATGCATTCTGCACCTATTTTTTTACCTGATCCACACTCGGTATAGCTTTCATAAGTTATTTCGTGTCGGATTCGCTCATGTGATATGCTCTGCAATCAACAACTGATCCGGTGTTTACATAGAACCGATAAAATAACTGAATTCTAAAACACATTCACGTATTTATTATGTTGATAACATGAGTGTTACATAGAGTTATCACCACTGAGAAGAATTGCATTTGGTGCACAATCGAAAAATCGTACTAACTTACTCAGGTGAAAATATCGTAATTTACGTGTGTTGATACGTTTTTCCAAGCAATAAAATTAAAGATAGCAAATGATAAACATGCTAGTGATTTAATGTTTTGCATTCAAAATATTACACTAATGCCTCGTCGATGGAAAAGTTATAAATGAAATTCTGTAGTGTGCGATTTTTTAAAAGGCTAAAATAACGTTTTTTTCGGAATAGAAAAATCGCATACTGCAGATACTTAAAATTTTTTTGTTAAAGAGCACCCGTATAGTGTAAATTTTTTATTATAAAAAAATTTGCTTTGCAAAGAAAAACTTTGCTTTCCAGAGAAAAAATACGTTGACTGCTCATATAACTGTCTAAACATATTAAATACATATTATACGGATTTTATGATTTGGATGTCTCAAGTTATGTGTCATTCGTTGGTCATAGTAGAACTCGTAACTGTAATAACCCTTCGCTTCTACTAAAAGTTCCGTCATGCAGAACCAACACCTTCAAGTCCTCCTATTTCAACCGAATTGTCCCCCTTTGGAATCGTGTTTGTAAAGTAGGCTTGCCTAGTGATCTTCACAGTCTGTCTTCGTTCAAAAAATTTTTGTCGAAAACTTACTTAAATTTGCTAATCTCTAGTTTTGAGGTTGACATGACTTGCACTTGGTCATTACATCGTAGTTGTTTCTGTCACCAGGACTTGTCTGTTACGTAATTTAACAATTGCAACGTGCTTATGTGTCTAGATGTGTGTGTTTTGTGTAATACTGTAGCTGCATGTTAAATACGGGAGAGTTGCCTCGCATGGGTCTAAAGGTCCCGTTCGCACTCTTGCCGCTTGGGTATTGTTATCCAATAAAGTTGTAAAAATTACATATTACAATATAACATTTATAGTACGCGCGTGCTGACTGGTCGAGAAGAGACTACCTTCTGACCAGAAGTTGAAACTAAGTCACCCCAAGTCTTTACATGCAAAAACAAACACGGCCAAAACAAAAGTATTTTGCTGTGATTTCGTAAATCTGATAAAAACTCCCCAAAAAAGTAGTACTTCCTACCGGCTGAGACATTCTTGATGTTAGTAGAACGCAATTTATAGACCTATCTTTGGAAATGCGGAGTAAGACAGTTCTTTTCTGGGAAAAAGCGTAGAGTCTAGCGTGACAATGCAAGAATATTTGTTTTATCTATGATTAATACAACTTTTTTGCCAACTAGTCACTTGGAATTAAATAAACATAAACTTATAATTAATTTCTAAACAATGTCTATCAAGTGTATTTTGCGATGAAATTTTAGCTTTTAGGATATCGTAAAAATATTGTTGTCAAAATTGCACATTGGTATAAACTTGTTCCGTTTTAATAAGAGAATTTGTTTCCAATCCGATCGGCACTCCCGTCGTAATTCGTAAAGCAGTTCACCTGCAAGATTAATGCCATTATAATTCCATAAAAAAAAAACATGTAAAACCATGAAACAAACCAAAAACCAAATTTCTTTCAAATTCGCTCTGCATCTGCAGTGATCTCGCGAGTCACCTGCGAATGTAGCCAAAAATAACGTAGAAAATAACGTAGAAAAAACGAAATAACGCAGAAAAATTCGCCCTTCGGACTCGTTTTCCCACTGATTATTTCTCGTTCTCCCAAACTCCCACGCGTGTTTCTATAACTGTATAGAAAGACGGAATATGTTTTCTATTTCTTAATTAGTGCAAACAGAGTATACGTTTTTAATAAACCTGAAATATTTGTCTTTCTTTAGGCGCCATCGCATGGTTTTTGAGGTTTAACATACTTTAACGTGCTCTCTTTAGTCTTTTCTGCTTTTGCTAAATACAGCATGCAACATCTTTGTTTTAGGTTTCCGGATCTTTGAACGATGAGATTCTGCTACCTCTGTATCGTAATTGTCATAGCTCAGTTGACAAAAGGTAAGTTAAGTTAAGTTATTATTTCATAGTGTATTTCTAGTTGGTGTTTATAAATTGAATTCACTGCCTAAACCAGTTTAATTTGTCTCATTTATTGTATTCTCAGTTGTCTCCACCAACGCAAAGGACAATTATTTTTCTGTCCCCCTATATATAGAATATGTGTTGCGCTTATTGCTTTATCACAAATTGGTGATCAGTTGTCTGATGCTAATTCTAATGACACAGCAAATTAATTTTTCTACTCTGTAAAAACAGATTGTCAAAACAACTAATTTGAAATTGGTTGTCTCATTTTGATCAATTCAACGATTTTGAATGGTCCAAAATTTCCCTTAACTTACAATTATATGCGTGCGATTCGTTTGCTGATATTCTGCCTTTTGTGTGTCGTATGTCCAACCTTTGAGTATTAATGTACTTTTATGGTTTGCATTTCAAGCTGGACCGGTCAAGAGAAATGTACCGCTTGCGCAAGGAATATCTGCGACGGCTGGAGATATAAACAAGGCCGCACAAATTGGCACCGAGCAAGGGGTTACTTCCTTTCCTCTGAACAACGGCAATTCAAACAATATAAGTCCTAACAATGAAATAAGTGCTCCAAATAGTGCTGTGCCAAATGCAGCAACTGCTGAACCAGGAAACATGGGCGCAGCCACTGCAGCTGAAACAACAACTGACGGTAATATGAACAGTGATGCCACGAACACTGCAATGGACGCCGGAAACGCTAACCGAGCTTCCGCCGGGAAAACCCCGGTTGTGGATGCACAACTGGACGAAGATCACCAGGTCAAGCCTGTGGCAGAGAAGGGGGAGCTCCAACAGACCATGATTCACCCAGGAGGAGAGGTAGAAAAAGTATTTACGGGTACACCAGACGAGGTAGCAGCTAGCGACCAAAAAGGAATCAAACAACCTCTTCACACCATAGTAAAATCGAATGGTGAGATTGAGAAGGTGTACGTTGGAACGCCCAAGGAGAATAAGAAGGTCCTCGATAAGAACGAGAGAAAAGCAATGAAAGAAGGTAAGATAAAAGAACAGGTAGATTCACAAGCGTGCGCCATATTGACACAAGGGTGTACCCAAAGTTTCAGGGGCTTGGGTTTAAAATAGTACTATGTTGTTAGCATAAAATTTCTTGTGGGATGAGTTAAAGTACGTGATGTACTATCACAAACCAGATAACTTAGAAAAAAAATTGAATTGTGTTATTTTTTCTATAGCAACGGCTACCCTTGCACATGATACATTTAACATCAGTATTCCGTTAAAACCAAGAAAACCGCCAGTAATCAAGTTTATTGGCAATGAAACTGAAGGAGTGTATGTCAAGTCTCCAGGTATTTACAAAGTATTCTTACAAATAGACAAAAGCAATTCAATACCATCTTCAAGCCGAGGCCAATAGAATGGTAAAACTCAGTAGCTAAAACAAAGAGAAAACATACGAAGTAGGCATTTTAAAAACTACAACAAAATGTTGCATTTTTTCCCCTAAAACAACTCGCAGAAATCTTACCTACGATATGAGTAAATTTGCCTTTCTGCATTTATTTTGGCACTGATAAATTTTATGTAAATGTTATGTTGTAAATGATGATTGAATAAAATTTATGCTTCCAATGTCCCGTGTGATATATATAACTGGACTTCCATGCGACGGCTGTAGCTAATAAAGATATATTTTTAACTTTTAGCTTCAGAAAACTTTAAAACGAGCTGTGTCACAGAACACAACAAGAAACGCGACATTCACAACGCTCACCCGCTGGTCTGGAGTGACAAGCTAGCCGAAAGCGCCCAATCATGGGCAGACCACCTCGCCGAAATTGATGACGACATGCCTGACACGACTAATAGAAAATACGGTGAGAATATCTTTTGGACACGACCACAGCTCCCTGAGGATGAGTTGTGTAAGGCAGCAGTAGATGAATGGTAAGTATTTCAAAAAGATCATATCTAGTTTGGTGATCATATCTATAAGACTCCGATTAATACATATTCGTACATGTAACGCAATGCACTGCGGTTATGCAAGAACCACGAATACCTTGATGTTACACGAAGTTTGTTTAGCTTGTTCGCTTCGTGGAAATTTCCGCGTTTGACGACACAATGAGAAATTGTTTACAAGCCTTTCCCGATAGGCACTACACGACTTAGGTCTGCAAGGCGAACGCTTATCTTCAAAGCCTTCAAGAATTCTCAAAAAAGAATGGAACGTGACACAATAAAACTTTTTGAATATTTTTTTCACAAAGGCAACTATACTTCATTGAATATCCCATTCCGGGAACATGTCCATGTCCATGCCCATGCCAAGTTGTTTCAACAGAAATTTTCAATTTTAAAAGTTTTTTCTCATGATCCTTCTAACAAACCCCTGGAATTCAGAGAGCACTTTTAAGTGCTTTCTTCATACCTAATATATTCAATAGTTCGTCATATTCTTCCCAAATCGTTGCTTTACACCATCAATTGTGCTTGCTCAGGGTGAAGCTCCTCCCTTAATTGACCATGGCCTCTGGAATTCTCACGTTTTTCGAAAAGAGTGTCTTGCCAAAAAAAACAAGTAATTAAAATAAAAAATCCAAAAAGTGGACGTCCTCAAATATTTATCTGAAAATGACTGCATTTTGCGACATTGGTGGTCCATGCTTTTTGCATTTCATTGTTAGGACTTATATTGTTTGAATTGCCGTTGTTCAGAGGAAAGGAAAAATCGTTATTTTTATTTTGCCCGAATCTGACAAATCTATATACACCTCAGTAACATAAGCTGTATAGGAACTGCCTGCATGCTAATGACGCAGAGTCACATAACTGAAGACATAACAAAGTGACTTTAGAAACGGCACCTGAAATTTTCTAGGTACAATGAGGTGAAGCTGTACGACTTTTCCGCGTCTCACAAACGCAATTATGACGCAGACCCAGTAAACGAATTCACTCAGCTCGTTTACGATGGCCAGACACGCGAGGTTGGCGTAGCATTCTCTCTAAGTCGCAGTAACAAGCAATATGTTGTAGCACGGTATTACAAGAAACGGAATAATATGATGCTGGATGCCGAAGTTCATCCTGCACATTCCGGTAAGTGTATCAAATTTTGATACGTAGCTAGTTATTGTAAAAACCATTAGGTACCTAGCTTCTGTTATCACCTGCCACATCCGGTAATAGTTTTCCCTGTACCACATCATTCAAAAGTAGCATAATAATAGCATAATTTCTTGTGCAATTGCGGATAAAGATGTACTCGTTAGTTAAAAAGTGTTCTACTACGAAGGGCAAGCGCTGTTTGCAATCTTCAAATTACCTACTCGTCGGGCTATTAGCTAGACGTAAAGCGTACAAAATGTTTTGAAATTCAAATATTAAGATACGAAATTCATGAAATTCTAAATTCTATATCATTCAGTTTTGAACACGTAGTTACTGCATATCTGCTTGCTTTGTGCCTTTCCTTGCCAAACATTAAACCATGCATGAGAAATAGCATAGCTCAATTCCATGTAGTTCCATATAGGACAGTCAACTTTACGTGGTTTAAGAATATTAAACAGTTAATATTTTTGACGAGATTGATGTTAGAATTTCTAGCTAACGATTTCTTTGTTACGATCTTCGTTTTTTACTTTTCACCTTTTTATTTTTCATAGATCGTTCACGGGTTCGTTTTGACCGACCAGTGTTTCAAAGTAAGTATTACAATCGATCTGACTGAAAGGCCAATTCTCCTATTCATTGGATTGTAACAAATAGTTGGAACTAGCAGCCAAAAACTTTTGCGCATGCGTCAGTCGGACTTGCGCGCAGCCTTGAATATATCATGTGCGATACACAGCGAGCTTTTAACTTCATAAACAAAAATTGGTATAGCCACTAAAACGCGCGTTTAAGACGAAATTTGATCGATAAACCATCACGAACTTTCTCTCTCTGTTTTTCTTGGGCATATCACTTGCACATATTTAGTTTTGGCTATTTGAAAATCAGTAATGAATAAAACGTTTTGCATAATTCATTTGTGTTCCAATATTACAAATTTCAATAACGACGAAAAAATGTCAATTGGCAATTGCGGAAATAACTAATCTATATCGGTCCTGTCCAGAAGTCTATAACGTGATAACAAACATCTCCGGCTAAAACCGACGATGCTTTCAGCGATTAAGTTTGAAAAATCTGGCTATGGTGGGTCATGATCCACCAAAACCTGATCCGCTTTCTCCCTATTTTGTGCATTTATCGAATGTCCATCCTTCTTTCTCTTTCTCGCAGTGTCAATGATTCGTATTAAGAATAACCATTTGATTTTTCTTGTTAAATACAGATTACAATATGATTATACGTCTCCCACGAATCTCCTGGGTTCCACAGTACAAACAACCGAATTCACCAGCATTCCAAAGGCTGGAGAGCAAGATGAAAAACGCGGTAAGTTCACTTAGATGATGTTAATGTGAACCAAAAAAGCTTCTAACATCTCGGTATAAGAGGAAGTCGTTCATTTTCTTTGGTGAGATAATAATTTGACAGAAATTCCGTGGTTCTGTTTCTTAATTCTATCGCAGCATTCATTGAGATGTCGCAGGGCCGTAAGTAGATGCGATAATAGTGTTTCCTAACGTTCAATAGGTTTAAAATAGTAAACAGGTAAAACGTTATGAAAACGTTTAAAATACTAAACCAGTAAATCTGTTCAAATTGGCAATGTTATGGAGTTTGTTTTGACCGACGTACAGCGAAATCGAATAAAAAATGAAAGGAAAATGAGTAAATAACCGTCGAGGGGGCCTTTATCACAGAGCAAATAGGATTCACTCATTTTTTAAGAATTTGAGGAAAATACTTGGGTTCTCTCTTTTCTTGTGTAATTGTTAGAGCGAAACTGCTACTCCTAGCATAAGTGGCATAAGGGACTGTGAAGTGAATTTTGTGTCTAATATCTGGTTTTTGTCTGAAATTGGAGTTCTAGCTAGCTAAACGTTTCATTCTTTACTTACTAGTTTAAGGCGACGTTCCAAGAGAGTCCAACGGTTACAAGTCTTGTGGATTTCAAACTCAATACATTCAAGTAAGTATAATAACGACGAACAAAATAGAACTAGAACTTCTTGTGTGAACTTAGGTGTGATATAAATGTGGCTCTGTAAAGAGCATTTATTGTCATGAAAGAAAAAGAAATTTGCAGGGCAACGTCTGTCAAGATAATTGAAGGGTGCATGTAATTACATAGCTATTCAGTTATGCCAGATAAATTTTTTAGAAAGAACGAATACATAAATATGACGATGTCTGCTCTCCCCTTCCCCATTTGTACCGTATCTTGTTACGCACTTCATCTTTTACAAACATTGCATTTGTATGTTTTCAGGTTGGACGACAGGAAACCTGGCAGGTAAATAGCTAAGTATATTATACCTCAGATTCAAATTGTCCAATAAAAAACTGTATTTGTACCACGTGATGAGTAGATTTTTTGTGGAAGCACATAGACTGCGAACTTAAATCCTGGTATTTTTACCCGGGGCATGTAATTTAAAGTCGAATTACCCTCTTTTGCCCGCAAGGGAGGGTGATTCCACTTTAAATTCCCCCGAAATTCGTAAACTAGCCTGCCGTTACGGGTGTCAGATTGTAAATATGGCCGACGGCAACAAGACGCCGGACGACTTTTTGTCAACAGCTTTAAATTTTCGGTATAATATATCAGTTATCAACCTTTCACTCGGGTGATTCCACAAGAAATTACCCTGAGGGATGAAATATTCCTCGGGCAGCGCCCTCGGAATATTTCATCCCTTAGGGTAATTTCTTGTGGAATCACCCTCGTTCCAGGTTGATAACTGATAATAAGAGCTAAGTTAAGATTAAGTATACATTACAGATTAAAACCCAAAATTGTGTAATAATATTTACAAAAAGCACTACACACTTTTGTTTCGAGAGCTGCACATCTTCTCTCTCTTTAGGTCATGTTTATAGATAAAATAAAAATATCCCATATTCCCGTCGTTCATAGCGGCATAGACTTAATCGTTTTGCTCATCTCTGCAAAGTTTCTTTTGGTATTGTCTCAGAATGAGCATGTATAGGCTTATTAAATTGTCTTTTGAACTGATCCGAGCAAAATTGTTTTGGAGGAAACTTTATAGATATTAAATGAAAGGATTATTCGCAAGCGGGCACATTCTGAAGAAAATTTTTAACATATATAGCACATTGACTGCGCATTAGTTTATCGTGCATGTCTAATTTGGATGGTAAAATTAACACCAACAACAAATCACATTTTTGAAATAGGAATAATTTTCTCAAATTTCAATGTACGACTTAAAAATAAGTCATAAATTGTTCTTTCACTTCATAAACATCATGCAGTAATGAACTCTTTCAATATCTTAAACACAGTAGTGCTATTCTTGCTGATCTCGACGTGAGATTTTATCCATACGTAAAAGATCCAATCCAACGATTACGAAGCAGCATCTTCCATGGTCAGCTGAACGGAATGGAACTGGATGACAACTTCTTGAAAGTCTTCAACAAGACAGGTAAATACGTACTGTATATGTTTTTTATCTCTTTAAATAATTGAGTGAAACAAAATATTACATCGTTGTGAGACCATTGTAATTTGCTTTCCCTTGAATACCTAATTCCCAGGTGTATATGTGCCTCCTTCGTCGTGGAAAAATAAAATGGAACAAACTGACCTCCAAGCTGACTTACTTCGCCCAAACACTGGAGCTACAGATCCTATAACAGGCGCTCCGTCAAATGTCACATACCCTCAGCCGATCTCCGAAGATATTGACCTTCTGGATCGAAAACCTTGCCAAGGAGGAATATGTGAAACATATCTTATAAAAGATCGAAGTAAAGAAGCTCCTACCAATGTATCAACACCATTAAAATCTGTTCCTGTAAATGCAACTCCTGCTATTCCTCCTCCACCAAATGGCTTTGCCCAACCTTGCTGCAATCAGATGCCACCGATGCCACCACCTCAACCTTGTCTCGCTTTAGCATGTCCACCACCCTCACCCATGCCGGCATGTAATCCTAACTGCAGACCACGATCTAACGGAATGTGGCCTTCGGCCTTATATAGAAGAGGCGGAATATCATAAAAACAAACAATGAAAAGAATAACTGTACTTTGTGGAAATATTATTCATTTGTTTTTGTTTTTATGCTTTAATTGTAAAGTTACGTGATATTGAAAAAATCGTCTCTATAGCGGCCAGAACAACATGTAGTAAAAAACACAGCTGTGATCAGCATTCAGCCACAGGACGTCAAAAGAGAGGTTAAGATACCTCGCTAACGGGCAGCCTTATTTTCTCAATAGAAATTCTTCTTATTTATATATTTTGTGATACAAACATATATTTTATGATACAAACTTGCTTGCCTCAAGAGGCTGGGAAAGGATTGCCGATGTATGGTCTGACACACACAAGCTGCACAAGCATCGTTAGAAATTCATTGAATAAAATAAGTCCTCCCGTACCTGTAAATTGGAACCGAGCTATCATAACCTCACTGATGTCCCAAACAAAAATAAGGCAAATATAATTCCTGACAGAAACGAGTCATTGTGGCAGCGGCCAGAAACCTGTAAATATAAATGCAAAAAGAAAAGTTCATGTTTATGCCAAAATTACGCTATATTCCACATTCTTAAATCATTCCAATTACATGGGTGTTGACAAGGTTAAGGTCGCAGAGAACTAAAAATAAAGTAAAAAAGGAAGGCTACTAAGGCTATACCAGAACGTGAACAATCTTATGTTTGCCCGGAGCCAAATTTTATACCTCCAGGCGCACGTAGACAGGTTTGTGATCACTGTTCCCTTAGTGGAACACACCACTTTCCTTAACTATATCAGAGGGACTTGTAGCGATTATATCAAGTAAAGATTTTGTAATTATTGTAATTACTTTTTTCCCTGGAAAAAATTTAAGGTATCCATAAGCCTTGGGGAATAGGATAGCAATAATGGAAGAGCTAGGTCACAGTTAAGTCACCGAGAAGAATTAATTTTTTTTCGCTCGTCCAAAATAAAGAAAATAATTTTCTAAATCGTGTATAAAATTAACGTTAGAGCTCGGAGGACGATAAAGCAAAATCGGGCTTGGTGATCTCTCGACATACCGAAGGACATGCATGCCCTTCGAATTTTAAACGCTTCTAATAATGTTATATATATATCCTCTGTAACACTGTAACACTGAAGAACTTGTCTAATCTAGTCTCACTGACGATTGAGAAATATCTAATGGTTAATTGATGAAATAAGTTTTAATGTATTTTGGAAGGGAAGTGATGTTCAAAAAATGAGCTATTCTGAAGCCATTTTTTTGGTGTGCAGTTTGTTTTTGATAAAGCGTGTTTAAGCGTGTTTCTGAGTTATTGCTATAAATAAGAGAATCAAGAACCATAGACCTTAGAACCATAGAACCGTAGAATCGTAGAACCGCCATTAAAATAATCGTTCAATTTAGATTTAATTTATTTAAATATACCCCGTGACTCGTAACACGTGGTGGTATTAACGTTGTGGTAATAGACCATTCCGCACGCAGCGCGTGGGTTTTGCGTGGAAAGATTTGAAAGGATTTGATTGGTTGTCGCAAAACTTCGGACAGTCCGGCGAAATGTAAATTAATGCCAAAGCCTGTCCGTATAGGACCTGATGAGAGATACAGACAGTCATGAAGAGAATACAAACAAGCAGCTACATGTTTACAGGCGCCGTCTTGACCACCAGGACAAAGGCAGTATTCAGAAAAAACAGATGGTTGGTTTCCATTTTACATTCGCTGAATCGCGGCTTCTTGGTCACCGTAAGTGACGAACCAAACTTTGTAAAATTTCACCCCTTCATTGCCATTGGTTACGTATTTCATAGCTGGTTTTACTTTCCCATTGAAAACAAAGTGTCCTCCGACTTCCTTGACTTTGATGTCTTCGACATGACCATCTTGAAATAGTCCGTATAGTCCTCAAACACTTTGTGGGAATGTATCTTTGATGCCAAAAAGTCCAGGGACCGCGGAGCAGGGTGGCTCGCTGGGCTCAGTTTAGCCCTACCAATAAGTTTCCCGTTATTGGTCTTTAATTTCGAATATTTTTAGTTCGCTCAAATTTACAAGCAATATTTTTAGCGACCATGATCGAATGTACCGTTTCTCCGTATATTCGACTATGCTCGAGTATACCGTTTTCCGGCCAAAAGCATGGTTATATTGTTTAATGTTTGTATATGAGCACGAAACATGCTTGCCACTTTACATAGGACAAGCATTTGACCATTAAAACAGCGTGGTTATCCATATTAAAATATTTGACATCATAACCAAAGTATGGTCATATTGTCTAATGTTTGTATATGAGCGCCAAACATGCTGAAAACTTTACAAAGTATCTACTATTTTCCAATAATCCTTAAATCGAGAGGCGTTTGCGGCCATTTCAGAGGCCTATGTATATTTCAAAATTTTCCTGGTCTCTCTTAACAGGCGCGCGGTTCCGAGCCCCAGCATTACGAAAAACGCTCCGCGGTTCCTGAACGTGGAAGTGTTCAGCCTCGTACCCAGGCGCTTTATAGTAAAAAAAATAATGTTGCATTCAGTTATTGTATAGAGGTAAAAAACCACCCCAAGCACCCTTGCGCGCTGGCATTTTTCAGCTGACCTCTATATAATATCTGAGTGCAACATAATATATTTTACTATTAAGGCGCCTGTGTACGAGGCTGGGAAGCGTCCAGACATTTCTGCCGCTTGCAAACTAAAAGGATCAGGTAGTATTTTGCCTTTAATTTGCAATCGTTCGCCCAGGTCAAGCTTATCTTTGTGGAAATCAACATTGGTTGAAAGCTTCATTTTTATGGCGGCCTTTGCGAACACAACCAAATCTGCCTTTTGGTAGTTCGCTGCTGTTATTCCTTTGTCTAGGAGAACATTTCTCAGATTATACACATGCATATTGTCCAAAGTTTCATCTGTTATTGTCGTGATATCCATTGTTGGGCTTGTATTTTTGTAAAATATATTGTTTTAAATGTTCTCAATGTTTTGCTTGTCCGAACTTTTTCCCGCGCAGCAAATTAGCCAATCAAATTTTTCCACGCAAAACCCACGCGCCGCGTGCGGAAAGGTCTATTAATTTGTGTGACAAACTTGAAACTAATTACTCAAACTAATTACTCGTTCGATGACTTCAATCACAGTTAATAGAATATACATGGTTTAGAGACTACAGGGTGTCTAAAAAAATGCAACCACTTAAATATGCAAGAATATTAATATTGTTCGGGTTTGCACCACAGTTCAGCTAAAATGACTTTTAGCATTTTAAATGAAGGATTAAGAGATTCAATTCCCAGAGGTGCTTATCTATTGTGCTTTAGAGCTGTATTGATGTCTTGCATATTTAAGTGTTGCGTTTCTTTTGAGACACCCTGTATATAAAACTACAATGAGAACTCATTAACTCAGTATGTCGGGGAACATTTATGCAAAAAATTGTTCCTTATTCGTTACGTGTCTATTGTATTTTGAACAAATAAACCAATAGTAAGGCCTGAATTAACATGTTGTTCAAGTCACGGTTGAGGAGCTAAGCCAAGCCATTGCCGTTGGTTAGTTGGGCAAAATACAATAGACATGTGACGGATAAGGAACCATTTTTTGCATAAACCTTGACAATAACATAAATAATGAGTTGTATTGTACTTCCATCTAGTCTCCAAACCATGTATACACTAATAACTGTGCTTCAATCGTTGCTTCTCGGAGGTGATATTGACCGAATTCACCGACGTTGAATAACATTATCCTAATTATACGTTGAAATTAACGTTCTTGGGAAAGCTGTGCATTTGACATGTGACCCGGGGTCCTTTGGCGGGTTTATAAAACACAACGCTTGTAAATCTATTGTGAAATGAACAGCCTCGTTCCGAGGCGCTTTTAATAAAATCAATATGGGAACACTACAGGCTTTTACATAGATCAGTGGCTAAGCTGAGCGAGCGCGCAAGGAATCTTGGGGAGGAGGCGGGAAAGGATTAAAGGAAGCGCCTGGTCCTGGCAGAAAATGCATAACACATGTAAAACATGGGGCGCACGATTTATTGTCGTTGTCGCCTTGTCGGTAGACTTACAAATATTGCGTTGAGATTAAAAGTGGAATGAAATAACGGGAACTACTTAGCTGGGTAAGTTTTATTTAAAAGTATACACTTTAAAAATATATGTCGATTCTTGATGGTTGAGATGGGTCTCTGACAGGCCCCGCACGTGTCAAGACTGAAGTGCAAATGATCACACAGGAACACGACTGGGAAATTTATCCTATTTAGAAAGAAAACGCTTAGCCTTTGATACGTTTTTAATAAGATTGAGGTATAAACAGGTTTACATTGTATGTAGTATTGCCTATCGGATATATCCTTAGACTGTGCTAATTGTGAGGCCTTTGAAACTGGCACCAAGCAATATTTCGGTGTTCCAAAGCATGAAATTTCACATCCATTCTCGAAGAATTTGTCATAATAAATACATTTATCAAGATTCTCTAGTATGTGTACTGTATGCTAGGATAAAGTGTCAGTCAAAGGAGGTGTGTGTTAAATTTTCTTTCTATTCTTTCTAATACTTTTGGTACATAAACGTTTAGCCCAGTACGCTATGCCTAAGTAACCTCAATGAGAAATTTGACTTTGTATCATCATGATTCATGATTTTAAAATTTTGCAAAAATGACTTTAATTTGATCCTTTAAGACCTTAGGCAGAACTTCTCTTTTATATTCTTCTTTGGGCATACATTATCAAGGTAGATTTTGACATGTACCAGCATCATATTATTCACTATAATTGATAATTATTTTGTAATGAAGCATTGTAGATCCTTACTACCAAACTGTTTCTATAGCTTGGTTGAAACAAAAGCATTACCTTTTTGCTTAATGAAATAAACACCAAGTTTTGAATAGTGTTTTGTTACTTTAAATATCTCTTAATTTACCCATACCGGGTGACCCAATCACAATCTTCTATGGTAGTGGATCATTGGATGTCCAAACTTGGGTGCCATAGAACGGTATTACATTACATAAAGACTCTTGTCAAGGCTATTAATCTGTGATGGAATTATGAAGGCTTTCAGTTAAGGCACTCATGCGTTCATTTTGGTGCAAAGTTAAATCATTGTGAACTTAGATAGCATATCATGTTCTTTGAAATTTGAATGTTTGTGATCAATTGAGCTCTGTCTTTCTTCTTTAGCATTCCAGAATTTACTCTGGGTTGACAGGCATGGCATGTAAACTTGACAACAAGATTTTGTATGCGTTTGGTTTTAACCTTTTAGTGCTACTGCACGGGTCACTGCTTGAGATTGCTTTAATGGTTAGTGCATGTAGTATTTTGATTCAATTTTATTGCCAGAATTGGATGATTGGTTGGAATTTAAAAATTATTAAAACTATTAAGAATAATTTATCTAATATATGCTTTTTGAAAAGCAAAAAGTTATTTTAAAGTTTTAAGTTGTGTATTAAGCTGTGTTGTGTGTATTAATCAAACTGAGAAGCATTAGCTTTCAAATTGAACTCTTCCTAACAATAATACTGAATAGCTGTTGTGCTGTAACTACCTGCATGCTTGCATCCTTGATTTTTTAGCTATTTATTTTTGACATAGCTATTTTCCTTTGTATTAATGTTTCTTTTTCCTGCTTCATGGAAAGGTGTCTGCCTTATGGCTAATTGTAGTAGCTATTCATAGTTGATGGCTTGATGCCACTTCCAGTATATGTATTTCATCATGATCTGCATTGTTAATTTGCATTGTTAATTTCCAGTCTGGTCTGAATGATAGCTATATGGAAAACAGCTTTTATAGTTTTTGCAGTTAGTGATTAAGAT